TATTTTATCATTTTTTGATTTAGCGCAGGTGCCCCTCCTGGGTGGCTGGGCAGGCCTGTTGTGGAGCTGTCGGAGAGGCTCTGCATGTGCGGGGGGCGGGGGAGGGTATCTAATAAGCTGCACAGGCTGGGGTGAAAGCCAGGAAGTAACACAAGGGCAAGCCTAGCCTGGGACACCAGCTGAACCCACCTCCTGGCACGGGTCTCCCCCCAGCCGTGGGCTGACAGGGCACTGGGAGGCCGCCCCCCGCAGGGGCTGTAGAGCCTCCCGGTGGCACTAGGTGGCGCTCCCGGGCTGGGAGAAGAGGAAATGCGGGCCTGGGTGGTGCAGAGTCGGCTTAGCAGGAGGCTTTGTCCCGAAGGCTTTTCCTTCCTGGACTTGCTGTGGTGGGAGGTGGGTGTTAGATGATGGCCACCGCCCACCCGCCCGCTCGCTGGTGGAATAATATCAGCAAGTTGTTCAGAGTTGTAATGGAAGCTTTATTGGAAAATCCGCTCCTGGGCCCCCTTCGCACAGAGGGGAAGATGGAGGCAAAAAGGACAGCTGACACACGTGTTGAGGAGTTTTATACTCCTGTAGACATGTGGGCAGGCAGAGGGGCTGTCTGTGCCCCAGCTCTGTAAGGAACGTCCGTTCAGGTGTGCCATTGGTCAACTGGATTCCCGCCAGGTCAGTGACGTAGCTTGCTCCTGTGGTCCCTCCTGTTCCAGGCCAAAGCCTGGGAGACACGCCGGGTCCGGAGCAGACCAGCCCCTCGTCTCCAGTGCCCTGGGCAGCCGTCGGTGGGGAGGGCTGATCGCAGGCCAGTAGGGGGACTGGTTAATAGATGTTCTAAACACTTGTCTACCAGAGGGTTAGCCACAGCACTGGTCTGCATGGCTCTGCAGTGGAGCTCTGCAGATGGACAGCCGAGCCTGCGCGGAACCCGACTTTCCGTCCGAGCCCCTGGCTCCCACCCCACCCCCGCCCCCCTTGGCCTCACAGCTAAGGAAACCCAGTTTGAGTTAGAGTGTCCGTCTGGTCTTCCTAGTTTGGATCCTGTGTCAGCATTTCTGTGTTTTAATTCCTTTTTATCCCAGCTGATGTGGTGTTTGCTTGGAACTCTGAGGCAAGAAGGTGTCTAGTCTGAGTGGGGCTCGGAGCGAGCGGAGATCAGTTGGTCAAGTCTGCTGTGGGCTGGGACAGGCGGGAGGCAGTCTGTGTGTAAGGTTTTCAGTCTTGCACCAAAACCTGAAGCCCCTTAATGCTGGAACGTCAGCTTGCTCGTCCCTTGTGCCCCAAAACTACAGGTACATTGTGGGTGGGGCTGCCGTGCAGGGCTGAGAGGGTGAGCCATGCTTGTCCCCCTGCCGCGTCCCAGGACTGTGGCTTGTCACGTAGTACTTGTTCGGGCTGGCTTCAGGTGGGGACAGGTGTGGGACTGTGATGACCCAGGCTGCTTTGGCTCACCTTCCCATCTCAGACACGTGGGTGCTGTCCTCTGGTAGAAAAGTAGGACAGGCCTCCTCGGGGTGGGAAGGCCCTGGGTTAGTTAGTAGCCCAAGAGAGAGGAATCAGCCTGGGGGCCTCCTGACCATTGCTGAGCCGGTTGCACCTGTAGCAGTGAGCGCCTTAGTGACCCCTCCAGACCACCTCCCTCCCTCCCAGGAAAACAGTTCAGCTGCTTCCTCCTTCCGGTGTAGACTACTTGTTGGGCACCTGGCACCTGTGGGCGCGGGGGCTGATGACCGATCTAGTGGGAGCAGAAAGGCTTGGCATAGGCCTTCTGGCAGCCCATGTCCAGGCTGGGCGGGTGGGCATTGTTCCCAGCTGCTCTCATTCCGCAGTCACATCTGGGGGTCAAAGGATTTTGGGGGGGGAGGTGACTGCCTGAGGGTAGAAGGGGGGCCAGGGTCTTCCGTTTGCCCTCCAGATGGGATGTGGGAGGCGGCAAGGACTTCAGTGCCCTGTGTGTGGGGGGGAGATGTTTCCAGGGCTTGGGGGGGACCTTGTTGCCCAGTTCAGTGAAGCTCAGCCTCCCGTGAGGTCAGCAGCACGCAGGAGCCCGAGGGAGGGACAGAAAGGAGAAGCCATCGCAGCCTCGGGACAGCTTCCTGTGGGGGCCACAGCCCCACCCGGCTCTGCCTCAACCCTAACCGTTACCGGGCTGGTTCTTCTCCCCAGGCCTTAGCCCCCCCTCTTAAAGGGGCCCTCGGGGCTCCCTGGGCCAGGCCAGGCCGGGAGGGAGCCCAGGGAGCGGCGGCTTTAACGGTGTCTGGTGTCTGGCCTCTTGCCCCCGCCCCCAGCCTTCTGAGTGGCTGGAAGCCGAGCCCCCGCCCGCAGCCGGAGACTCGCAGCTCTGCTGGGAAGGAGTGGGGACCGAGCCCAGAGCCGGGAATCCGCTGCTGCAGCCTGGACCCACCTGCTGGTGAGGGAGCCGCGCCTGTCCGCTCACCCGCAGCCACAGGTAGCTCAGGGAGATTCCCGCTCTGCCCTGCCCTGCCCTGCCAGGAGGACCGCTTCCCACCTGTGGGTGCCCTCGGCACCGTGGGCATGCCCATCGGCTCTTTCGTAGCTGGGAAGGCTGCGGCCCGGGGGCCTGAGCAGCCGTCTTCACTGGCTCCATAGATGGTGGCCCCCTCTTCTTGCCCCTGACCCGGGTCACGGGGCCAGGCCGCATGAGCTCACTTCCTCCATGTCCTGTGTGTGGGGAAATGAGGGCGATGCCGGCATGGCTGAGTGTTGGGGATGGGGGGGCCGGGCTGGGCCCCTACCTCCCCCGTCGCTGCCTCAGGGGCTAGGGGCCACCTGGACAGGGAGCAGCCTGTGCCTCAGGACGGGGTCACGCTGCCCCTTTCCCCCTCCGAGAGGGGCCTGGCCGGGAAAATTCGGGAAGACCTGGGCCCAGTCCTGTCTCTGCCTGTCTCCTTCCAGGGCCGGCCTGGCCGCTGCCTCTCAGCAGGCCCTTCTCCGCTCTGCCTGCCTTCATTTGGTGACCCTCCCCCGAGGGAGAATCCATTTTCCCTGTCCCCTGCTTGTGAGCTTTTGTCTGCCTCTGGCCTTGGCATGCAAGACAGGAGGGGGTGCTGACCCCCTGCTGCACCGCTCCAGGGGGCTGGGCCTTAGGAGGGCTGTGTCCCCAGCCCGGGGTGGGCTCGTGTGGGAAGCCAGTGGCCAGGGTGATTGGCGTGCTGCAGTTGCTGAAGATGAGGCAGCACCTCCTGGGTGGATCTCCCCTGGGGGAGCAGGAGCCCCTTCTCGGGGTGTCTCCTGCTCGACATGGAGCCGTGAGGCCTCCTGTGATGAGGGAGAGCTTGCTGGGACTCCTGGCAGACAGTCCCGGGGCCCCTCTGGCTGCCCTGCTCCCCGAGGCTCAAGGTAGGTAGGGCCTCCAAGCCTTAGGGAGCTGGGTCAGGAACATGAGTGCACAGGCACAGCCACGCATGCGCACACACAGCCCAGTGCCTACACATGTGTACACACATGTCCTCACAGGCTCACATGTGCACCCCCACCACGACCTGATACCCCCGTGCTTCTACACAGCCTTACAGTCACAAGCGTTCTTGCACAGACACCTGCATACTTAATACACACATGCATGGCTGTACCCACGTGCACCCATACTCTGTCTGTGAGCACTCTTGCACACTCCCAGCCCTAATACCTGCACACTCAGGTGCAGCCACCCCCATCAGCACGCTTCCTGTGTGCTCACAGCACCCCGCCCACAGGGGCTGCCCCCTGGCCTAGGTCCTTGGTCTAACTTCAGTTGGAATGTTCCATTGCACTGATGGCAGGGGTGGGCAGGGCAGGTGCTGGTGCCCATAGCCTGGGATGTGGCAGTGCTGCTTGACATGACCCCTGCAACAGCAGGTTCTGACAAGGCTGACCACCGTCCCCAGAACAGCGCCCCGAGTCCCTGTTGTTCCCCCTCCCCACAGGACCAAGGCTCTGTCGTGCCGGTGTGGGGGAGAGGGGAGGTGTTGGGAGCCAGATCTGCGATGAGCTCCTGGGTGGAGCGATGGTCTCCAAGCAGTCGCTCTGGGCCCCAGCATGTGCTGAGCCTCTGAAACCCACAGCGCACTCAGGACCTTCCCCAGCTCCACGCGGGGGTGGGGACGCAGGACTGCAGTGGCCACAGCATTCCCTGCCCTGCCCCTCCTTCGCCACAGGGCCCCTGGGCTCTGCTGGTCCAGGTGGCGGCCCTCAGGCTGTGTGCTGACTTTCAAGTCCTTCTGGTCCCTGTGTGAGACCCGCCTCCACACAGTGCCCTTGACTCTGAGGAGGAGGGGTGCTGGGACGTGGGCCCGTCTCCTGGGCCCCCTGATTGAAGGAGCTGAGCCCACTGGTGATGCCAAGGGCCTGGGAGGTTGGGCAGGGCTGGGAAACAGGAAGGTTGGAGGCCCTCCTGGCCACACCAGTAGCTCTGGCCTTGGGGCAAGGAGGCAACAAGTCTAGGGACCCCATCCCCCTTGAGACAGACACTGTGCTGGCCCCAAGGCCCACAGAGAGTAGAGGTGGACCCGGCCTCACTGTAGGCTAGTACAGGTGGGGCCCTGCTGCCCAGGTGATCTGGAGGTCGCTCGAGAAAAGAGATTCCTTGGCTGCAGGGAGGAGGGTCAGCTTTCCCTGCTGGGCTGTCTTGTCCGGCCAAGTCCTTGGCCTTGCAGGCCTGAGGAGGATGAGGAGGAGCCCCTCGCAAGCGGCAAGAACTCGAGGCTGTGCTGGCCACCACGGCACACAGTGGGACAGTGAGACTTAGCAGGAGACTGGGCTCCTGGGGTCTCCTCCTCACCTCTGTGAATCCAGGGTGTGCACAGCTCGGTCCGGTGCCCATTCTGCAGAGCTGGGCCCTGAGCTCGTTGCCTGAGGCTGGCAACAGCAGGAGGCCGGGCCTGGGGACCCCCGGGGGAGTGGGTGAGCTGGCCTTCCAGGTGTGAGCCTGCGGCAGGAGCAGGGCTGTCCAGTGGTTCCTCCGACCTGGCCCTTGGCAGGGGGTGGGGCTCCTACATCTGGGGTGACCTCTGGCATCTTCCCGGGGAGGAAGCCAAGGTCGTTCGCTTGCAGGGAGGGGCCTGGTGGCCGGGAACCGTCCCTGCCAGGGCCCAGGGACGGGGGGTTTCAGTGACGCGAGGTTGATGCCAGAGCTGGCTGAGGTGTGTCCGTCCTCATGTCCAGGTGGTCCTTGTGTGGTCACGTTGGAGTTGGGGGCTGCTTGATCCATCACCCGTGGGCCAGGCGGTCTGTCCTCGCCAGCCTCTGCTCCCCGCCTCAGGCAGCGTGGGGTCCTCATTGGATTCCTTGAGGATGGAGTGGTGTGTGCCCCGCCTCCAAGGCTGTGGCTGGGAGTGGAGGCGGGCCGGGGTGGGCTCCCCATCAGCCCATGTCAGCCCACCGCTCTGTGGGCCTTGACTGGTCCCGAGGCTGAGATAGCCTCGGCCTGGAATGTTTGCTCTCTGTCCCTGTTATCTGCGCTGGGGACAAGCTTTGGGCTGGGCGTGTCCTGCAGATAGCATGGCCAAAGTGCTCTTCTGAAGCAGAGACGGGCGGGGAGCCGGCCGCTTTGGCTTTTAGGTCCGTGGGTTCCCAGCCCTTGGCACATTGTCCGAGATCACCCAGATAGACGCACGGCTTCGGAGGAGGGCTGGGGTGGGCAGAGCTGGAGGGCCGGAGGACTCGTGTGCGTCTCATTCCACAGATGCTGCTTGGTAACCTGGATCGAAAATGGGTCAGATCCTGGCAAGGGAGGGGCGCGGCCGCAGACAGGCCGACGCTGGGTTCAGGTTCCCACCTTGTGCTCGCGGAGCCCTGGCAGTGCCCGCTCCCACCTGCGGCCCTCCTGGCTGAGCAGAGCCAGTGGGTGACTTGGGCCGGATGGGGCGGCTGGCCAGGCCTGGGGAACAGAGTGGGTTGAGCATAGGGGCTTCCGCTCTGAGCTGCCAGCCCAGCCAGAGCAGGTGGCGGAGCAGGTGTGTGACCAAGCGCCTGTCTGTTTGCAATTAGCCCCGACCCTCTAACCTGCACTCCGTGAGCCGCTGAGAACCAGGAAAGTGGAGCTGCCAGCGCCCCTGGAGCAGTGACAGCGCGGGGGGAAGGGGAGGAAGGAGGAGAAACAGTGAGCGAGCTGCCTGCGCCGCCCTTCCTTTGCGTGCCTGCCCACGATGTGTCAGTCAGAGGCGCGGCGAGGACCAGAGCTGCGCGCGGCGAAATGGTGAGATGCTACCCGCCGCGTCCTAGCCACACTGTGCCCCGTCACGACCTCCGAAAAGTCAGAGTTCATGTCCAGCGGCCCCGAGGTGGAGGTGGCAGCAGGGGGCCCAAGGGTCAGCCCCCGCAGCTGGAGGGGCCCAGCCCTGGGGGCCTGAGCAGGAGAGCCCATTTCAGGTACCTGGGTTCTGGGGGGGGGGGGGTGCCTGGAGCCTGCCATGGTCCTCAGGGTGGCGCCCCAGCCCCCGCTGCCTGCCGAGCTGGCCTGGCGGCCCCGAGGGGGGCTTCCTGCAGCTCTGCTGGGATTGGTCCCTGCTCTTCTGCAGTGAGCAGGGCGGGGCTCCGCCTGGCCCCTTGCTGCTGCTTTTGAAAATACTGAGGGGGACAGGGCAGGAGCTGGAGAGCAGGTGTGGGGCACTTGCTGAGCAGTGGGGCTGCAGCTGCCTATGCCTGCCAAGGCCTGTGTCTGGCCACCCTTGCTGGTTCGTTCTGCTCTTTGTCCCTTGGTGTGCTCGGCTCCCCACCTCGGGGCTGGGCCACACTGGTGGCCTTAGTGCGTCCAGACCAGTGCAGTCACTTGCGCATGAACACATAGGCCCGGGGGTATTTGCCAAGTGGATGGTGCCATGTTTCTCTGCGGGCAATACTGGGCTCCCCAGCAGCATTTGCTCAGGCCTGGGTGTGAAACCGGGTGACCAGGGTTTGGTGAAAGGTCCTCTCCCCACCTCCCAAGCAGCTGGGCCTGTGCCTGAAGTGCTTAGTTTGTACTGGTTGGGAGGAGGGTCAGGGTCACGTGTGGGGCCTGCTCATTGCAAGAAGGGGACTTAAAGGCAGGGGGAGAGCCCCTCACGAGGCTGTGGGTGGGTTTTGGAGAGCCGGACCTGCTGTAGGAAGGCTGTGCGGGTGGGTGGGGCCATAGCCAGGAGGGGTGTGTGTGCACCTGCTGCATGTGGGCTGCCAGCTTGGACCAGAAGCCTGGGGGCTGTGAGGCAGCCCGTCCACCCCTCTCCTCTGCTGCGGGGCCTGACAGGCTCCCTGGGAGAGGTGCCCAGGGCTGGGTTAGGGCTCCCCTTGCTGCCCCATTCCCAGCCTCAGGTGGGCTAGCCAGAGCTGATTGCTGAATCGGAAAAGCGGCTTGCAGAGGAGGGCAGTGTCCAGGTAGGCTTGTGGAGAGATCATCCAGCAGCCTGTGGCCGCTGACCTGGGCTGTTCACGGACGTGTGTCCTGCAGGTTGCACTTCCCCCAGCTGGCCCTGCGGCGGAGGCTGGGCCAGCTGAGCTGCATGTCCAGACCCACCCTGAAGCTGCGCTCCTGGCCCCTGACCGTGCTCTACTACCTCCTGCCCTTCGGCGCCCTCAGGCCGCTCAGCCGGGTGGGATGGAGGCCTGTGAGCAGGGTAAGTGCGTGCAGGCCACCGTGGCCCCAGCTGCCCTGACGTGGGCCTGGGTGCAGGGAAGGCCAAGGCGGCGGCCAGCAGTCGGATGGGCCACAAGAGTGACCGTGAGCACTTGCTGCCCACTGCCTGTCCCATCGCTGCCACTTGGGGACTTGGCTCCTGGAAGCAGGTCACACAAGGGCCTGGCTCGTGTGTGTTCAGGCACAGGAGACCTCCGAGTGACCCTGAGCAGTCCAGGTAGACCTTCTCTCCTGGTGCTGGAGGGCTAGGCCGGGAAGGGAAGGCGAGTGCCTGAGGAAGCGGGGGGCACAGGGCTGTTCCCCGGGGACTTGCCAACCCCGAGGAGGAGGAACTCGTGCTCTTGCCACTCCCTGGAGGGGGAGGACCTGGAGCGTGTGAGGGCACGGAGGCATCCTGCAGCGGCGGGGAGGGAAGTTTCCTAGGAACTGCTAGGTCAGTCCCTCTGTGTTGAGCGAGCTGGCATGCAGTGGCATTTGCTCTTGGGGACTTGGTGGTGCTCAGACAAGCAGCCCCCCAACTATGTCAGTGGTGCCTGCACTGAGAGGCCGCCCCTTCCTGCGTGCCTGACCCTGCATGTGAATTCAGGGACCTGGTACCCATCCCCCAACCTCCTAGTCCTGAGAGCCCCGCCTGAGGTACCTGTGGCAGAGGGGCCTTAGGGGGCTGCCCTTCTGTCTCCTGGCAGGCAGCCATGTGGACTGGGTCCTGGGGGACGTGCTGCCAGGCCCAGGGGCTCAGCACAGCCGAGCCGGGGAGGCCTCCTTGCTGGCCCTTGGCGCCGTAGCCTTGTCCCCTGCCTCTGGGAGCATCCTTCTTTCTTCGGGGGTCTGGGCTGCGGGCAGTGGTCCTGGGCGTACCCCTCCCACACCTCCTTCCTGCCAGGACTAGGGCATTCACCGTCTGACATGAAACGGCCCAGAGAACCTGAGCTCATCCGGGTTGTGTGCACTTGGCAAGCGCAGTCTGGTTCCTAGCAGAAAACCCCACATCACAAAACCAGCCTGGGGCGTGTCCTCTCCTGTGATTGGGCGGCAGGGGAGGGGGTACTCTCTTTGGAGCAGGGCAGTGTGGCCGACTCAGCCCCCTGCCCTGTGGCTGCAGGTGGCCCTGTACAAGTCCGTGCCGACGCGTCTGCTGTCCAGGGCCTGGGGCCGCCTCAACCAGGTGGAGCTGCCACACTGGCTGCGCAGGCCCGTGTACAGCCTGTACATCTGGACCTTCGGTGTGAACATGAAGGAGGCCGCTGTGGAAGACCTGCACCACTACCGCAACCTCAGCGAGTTCTTCCGGCGCAAGCTGAAGCCGCAGGCCCGGCCTGTCTGTGACCTGCACAGTGTGGTGAGGCCTGAGCCGGGCCCTGTGCCCCGCGCCCCCTGCTTGCCTGTCGCAGAGGGCAGGGTAAGGTACCTAGTGGGAAAAGACCCTCCCTTCCTGCCAGTCAACCTCTCCCTGCCCTTGCAGATCAGCCCATCGGATGGGAAGATCCTCAACTTTGGGCAGGTGAAGAACTGCGAGGTGGAGCAGGTGAAGGGAGTCACTTACTCCCTGGAGTCGTTCCTCGGCCCTCGCACCTGCACTGACGAGCCACCCTTCCCACCAGGTGGCTCTGCCAGGGAGGGCCCAGGGCAGGGGTGGCTGAGCCAAGGGGGGGAGCGGCCGGCTGGCTGGCAGAAGGGGCTGGGACATACCCTGACCAAGGCCCCGGGGTTGTCCTGTCTGTCCCCAACGCAGCCGCCTCCTGCGACTCCTTCAAGCAGCAGCTGGTTACCCGGGCAGGGAATGAGCTCTACCACTGCGTCATCTACCTGGCCCCCGGGGACTACCACTGCTTCCACTCCCCCACCGACTGGACCGTCTCCCACCGGCGCCACTTCCCAGGTGGGTGGGAGCGGGGATGAGCTCTGGACTGGCATTGCTGAGGTGGGAGGTTGGGCGCTGCTGGCTGGCTGGTATGGGGGCAGGAGGTGTCAGAGCCTGGTGGGTGATCAGGCTGCCCTGCAGTAGGTCCCTGATGTCCCCTGCCCCACAGGCTCCCTGATGTCCGTGAACCCCGGCATGGCCCGCTGGATCAAGGAGCTCTTCTGCCACAATGAGCGTGTGGTCCTGACCGGGGACTGGAAGCACGGCTTCTTCTCCCTGACGGCTGTCGGGGCCACCAATGTGGGCTCCATTCGCATCTACTTCGACCGGGTGAGCAGCGCTGGGCTTTGCGGGAGCTTGGGGCTAGCCCTGGCTGCCGTGTGACCCCAGCTGCCTCTTGGCCACAGGGCAACCCCTCAGCTGAGGAATGGCGGTGGGAGGGACTGAATTACCTGCTTGGCACTTTGCTCCGGTCAGGAACAAAGGAGGGGTGGGGAGTGGGCAAGACAGTGCCAGCCTACAGGGCTGCCACTCTGGGTGTGCAGATGGCTGGACCAGGCCCCCACCATGCACGGCCTGGCCTCCGACACCTGGCCTCCCCGACAGAACTTGCACACAAACAGCCCGAGGTACAGCAAAGGATCCTACAATGACTTCAGCTTCGTGACGCACGCCAACAAGGAGGGCATCCCCATGCGCAAGGGCGAGCACCTGGGCGAGTTCAACCTGGGCTCCACCATCGTGCTCATCTTCGAGGCCCCCAAGGACTTCAACTTCAAGCTGAAGCCCGGACAGAAGATCCGCTTTGGGGAAGCCCTGGGCTCCCTCTAGCACCTGCCTGCGCGCTGCTGAGGGTCTGTTTTCATGAGGAGCACGCGGGTCTGAGGGGCGGCCCGCCAGACTGTCCTGTCAGGGTCCGAGCTGGGGGCTCTCGGAGATGTGCTCCTGCCTGTCCGGGGGCAGAGACGGTCTGGCTCTTGACAGGGCAGCTGGAGCCGCTAGCCTCCCAGGCCGGTCCCTCCCTCTCCTCTCCAGGGCAGTACAGGCTGGGAGCAGCTGTCACTTAGCCTTTCTAACACTGCATAACCTGGAGGCCTCTGTCTGCCAGCCCTGCACTTGGTCTGGACTGTCGCTCTAAGAGGGTGCGAGGTGCTGCTGCGCTTTGTTGCTGCTCCTCCCTGCGTCCGCCCATCTTCCGGGGCCCTTTGTGCTTCTGGCTTTACCCCCGCCTCCCCCACACGGTACACAGGGTGACGTGCCTCCTGGCACAGACTGTGGACCTGCCTAGCACCCCATAGCAGGGCCATCGCTTCACGACAACTGCTCTGTCCCCAAGCTCACCTGCTCGTGGGGAAATGCGTCATCTGTCTGCTTAGCATGTGCGGCTCATGACTCACCTGGGCGTCTTGTGAGGCTGGCATTGGTGACATGGACCTTCGCAGGCCCAGAGAAGTGACTTCCCGGAGCTGGCCATGTCCTCTTGGCTGGAGGGAAGAGCGGACCCTGGATCCACCTGCTCAGGTCCCCTCTCCCTGGAGAATGGGACTTGGACAGTGTCATGGAGTGGGTCAGGGTCCAGAAAACAGGGGTGCAGCCCTGGGGGAGCCCAGTGGTGGGGACAGGGCTGGACTCTGGTGATCCTGGAGCCACTGTGAACTTCTCCTGCAGGAGAAGTCATTGAACTTTTTCAACTGTATCAGTAGTATTTTTGTATGAAAAGTGGGAGACTTCAGAACAGTAATTCATTTAATTGCAAAACATTTTGAAATAAGAAATATAAAATCCATTGTGGCTTTGTGTTCCATTCTGGAAATGGCCCAGGGCCACCCCCGCAGGGCAGGGCCAGCAGCCTAGCACAGAGCCTGCCGCAGGGCCTGGATGCGGGCAATGCAAGCCCCGACTGGCTGGCGCTGGGCCCGCAGCTCTTCAGCCAGCTGCTGGATTTCCATCTCCACCTGCAGGCAGGGGAGCATGAGACCCCGCCAAGGAGGCACAGCCCAGGGCCATCCAGGGGCCGGCCTGCAGCCTCACCTCCTCCAGCTCTCTCTGCACCTGCTGCTCCTCAGCCTGGTCCTCGGGCCTGGGCTCCTCCCTGCTTAGTTCCAGCCACCTGCGCAGGCTGCTTGCTTGGCGCTGACAGGACCTGAGGAAAAGAAGACAGCCACATGCCAGGTCCCTGCAGGGCCCCAGAGGTGCCCTCCTCACGGGAAGCAGTGTACCTGCTAGGCGGGGCGGGATGGGATGGGAGAGAAGAGGCCCCGCAGGGGTAGGCCTGGCAGCCAACCCTGCTCTCCTATAGCCTCCATCTCCCCAGCAGACAGCAGCTGGGCAGGGGGTGAGGGAAGCCGAAGGCAGGGGCAACGGCCTGCTGTCTTGTCTCCTGGATGCCAGAGTGCCAGAGGCCCAGTGAGGATTTCTGCTCTGCCAAGTGTCCCCTCACTCCCGGCAGGAGGCAAGGTCCTTCCAAAGCAGGATTGTGGACTCCCAGCCCCACCGGAAGCAGAGCACCCCAGGGCCCGGCAGCTGCCTGCGGCCTTGCAGCCACTTGCGCCTGGACCTCACCTGAGGTTCTGCTGGGTGGTCTGGTAGCGCTGCAGCTGCTGCTGGATCCCCTCCAGCTCGTCCTCAAGGTCCGTGTGGCCTGTGACAACAGGACAGGGTGCTCTATCCTGCTGGATGGAGTGAATAGTAGCAGGTCTCTGGAGTTAGGGGAGGCCCAAGTACCCACCTGCCACTTCAGGGCCAGGCTCAGCCCTGGTACCCGTGAAGTCCCCCGGGAGCAGCAGGTGGGGGTTAGGCACACTGGTCGGGGGTGGAGGGTCCTGGATCTTAAGTCCAGGAGAGGTCAGGAGGGCTGACACCTGGAGAGGAAGGAGGGGCAGACACTGGGCAGGGATGCCAGGAGGAAGACCTGGGAGAGGGTACCAAGCCCTTGTCTCTAATTCAACCTGCTGCCCCGGCACCCTGCAGGGGTGGGGCAGGCTGGGGCACAGCCAGTCGGGTCCTGCCCCAGTGCCTGGGTTAGCACTGCCCCAGCTGCTCTTCGGGGGCTTTACCCAACTGTCATCTACTCCCAGCCCTAAGCCACAGCTCCCGGCATCCAGCCCACACCCACATCAGTCATTCTCTGTAGAAGCAAACTTCCACCACACGCCCCTTCCAGGCTTGCGCCCTTGACCCTACAAGCTGGCTGCTCAAGTGAGTCTCCCCTGTACCCCACTCCCAAGGCTGGCTCTGGGGGTTTACCTTGAGCCATGCAGAAGACTCCATCGAGCTATGGCTGGACCTCCCTGCCAAGCCAGACCCAGCACTGACTCACCCTGTTCCACCTCTTATCAAGAGCCCCTTCCCTTGCTACTCAGGCCAGAATTTAGGGCTCAGCCTGGGCTCCCTCCCTCTGCTCCACTGGGGCAGGTCCTACCTGTTCTCACTCCACATCCACCGTGATGGCCGAGTCACATGGACCACACACAGCAGCCTCACCCCGCTCTCAGCGATGCCCTAATTCCCACGGCCAGCCTGACCCGACAGGACTGCTGGCCACTAGGCCGGAGTCTCCCGAGGCAGGGGCCTCGGCTGCAGTGTCCCCTCTGCGCCTGGTGTACTGGGGCGCCCATGCTTGTTGGGGAGTGAGTGGCTCGTCAGGTGCCAGAACAAAAGCAGCTATGGCACTAGGGGCAAGCCCAGAGGATGGAGTCAGGGACCAGGCTTTGGGAGAACTTACCCTTGCTGGTGCTCCGGCCCCGCGGGGCACAAAGGAGGAAGGAGGCAGCAGTTCTGGGCCTGCACTTGCCCCTGGGGGCAGCTTTGGGTGTGGGGCGCTCGCCAGGGCCCCCGGCTGGAGGGGTCTCAGGAGGGAAGGGCAGGGCTGGCCACGTGCCTGTGGCTTCTCAGTCCTGAGCAGAGGGAGGGCAGGGGGTCTGCTCAGCCTACAGACCCTTCCCTGGGTGGAGTCTGGACTGGGAAATGGGAGCTCACCAACCCCCAGCCCCCACACAGCCCCCCCACCGCCCAGGTGTCGTACCCCAAGGACCCAAGGCTCTGCACAGGCTCCAGCAGGAAGTGTGGGCGTCGCGGCTGCTTCCTTGCCAAGACTGCAGCACCGCTGCGGGGAAACGTGGGCTGTTCCTGGGGCTGACGGGACCAGACCACAGGGGCCTGGGCTCCCCTCAGCCTCGCGGGGACACTGAAGGCCGGGCTCTCGGCCAAGGTCAGGCAACAACGCTTGGCGGGCATGCAGGCAATCTGTCTCGTGGGGCTGCTGCACCCGTGGCACCCAACCTGTGCCTCTGCTCTGGCAACACAGACTAAGTTACAGGGTACTGTCAAGTTCAGGGAGGAAGAGGGGTGGGCAGGGGTGGGCTGTGGAGAGCCACCCAGATCTTGCTCCAGGGCCTGGGCAGTTCCTGGCAAGGTATCCACTCAGGGCTGCCACTGTCACAGCACGGGGTCTGCAAAGACCACCCAGGGAGGGCAGGAGCAGGGCTGTGTCAGTTTCATGTGTCATTTCCTGGGTCAGCAAAGAAGACAACCAGGAAGCAGTGGAGGAAGGGACACCAGCTTCCTGAGCTTCGGCAGGAAGTGGGGGGGTTTGGGGAATCACCCCCATCCCTTCCCCGAGCCTCAGCAGCCCCGGAGCGTGGCCGTGATTGGCCTGCTTCACATGAATGTGAGGAGGTGGTGATGGCCAGGGTGGGGACTCACAGTTGCCGCAGGGAGGGCTCCCCAGCGGCCAGGGCTGCACTGTCTAGGATGCCCTGGGGCCAGGGAGCTCGGGGCCTCTTGGTATCCAGGGTGGCGTCCACAGCTTGAAGAGCAGCGCGATCGAGGAGGGGACCCTCAAACGTCACTCGCCTGTTGGGAATTACGGGGGCTGCGGGCCGAGGCCCCCTGCCCAGCACTTTGTGTTTCCAAAGCAGGGCGCAGCGGAGGACTGCACGGTGGAGACTGTGGGCAGCCTGCAAGGTGATCCCCGTCTGTCAGCCTCCTGCCGACTCACCCAGCTCACTCCACGGCAGGCGGGGTTGGGGGCGCCCAGGGCCTACCTGGACCTGCTGCTGCGCCTGCAGCTGCTGCCGAGCGGCCTTCCTGTCTGCAGTGAAGCGCAGGAGCTGCGTGGCGCCCTGTCGGAGGAGCTGTTGGTGGTAGACCTGCAGCGCCTGCTCCAGCCGCGCCTTCTTGCGCCTCCTCTCCAGCACGAAGCCCAGCCATGCTGTCCACACCTCCGAGGGCAGAGCGCGAGGCTGACCCTCAAGTCACCTGCTGGGGTCCCTCCACCCCAAATCCACCCCATGGATCACTCACCTCCTTCACCCCTCCCCGGGGTGGGCCGTTACCTTTGCTTGCAGTGAGAAGGCCCAGAACCACAGGGCCCGTGCCGTGGCCTGCTGCTCCTGCCTCCTGGCCTCCAGCTAGGACCAGAAAGACCGTGTTCTGTCCACACCACCTCCTCCAGGAAGCCACCCTGCTCCACTGATATCCTCCCTCCCCTTGCCTGGCTGCGAGGGCCTCACCACACTCCTGAGGATCAAGGCGTGCCGCCAGGTAAGGAGGCAGCAGGTGCAGGCAGTCCACTGAGTCACGTGGTTTAGGGAGTAGGGAAAAGGAAGGGCACAAGTCTGGGCTGCAAGCAAGACCTGCAGGCTGGAGGGGCTTCCTGGGCACATCCGAATGCAGCTTTCATGAAAGTGCATTTCTTAATAATTTTGTGGTTACCACACCAATGTGTTTTAAATATGACATTGTAGCAAGAGAAAGCAGGCCTTGACTGGCCTACCGGCCATGGATAAAAAGATGTGGCTGGGGCGGCATGGCCTAGCGGCTAAAGTTCCTGCCTTGAAAGCGCCAGGATCCCATATGGGCACCGGTTCTAATCCCGGCAGCTCCACTTCCCATCCAGCTCCCTGCTTGTGGCCTGGGAAAGCAGTCGAGGACGACCCAAAGCTTCGGGACCCTGCACCCGCGTGGGAGACCCGGAAGAGGCTCCTGGCTTCAGATCGGCATAGCATCGGCCATTGCACTCACTTGGGGAGTGAATCATCAGACAGAAGATTTTCCTCCTCTCTGTCTCTCCTCCTCTCTGTATATCTGACCTTCCAATAAATAAATAAATCTTCTTAAAAAAAAAAAAAAGGTGTGGCTGGTGGACCGAGGGTGACAGTGCCAAGGCTGACCCAGAGGAGTGGGCCAACGTCACCTGTAGCCCAGGCCCCACAAGCCAGCGAGAGGAGGGGAGTGGGGAATGGGGGGTGGGGTGTGCACGGCTCCCACCTGTCGTCTCCACTGGTGGAAGCAGGTCCAGCTGAGCCGCCGTGCCAGGAGGCGGGCACCTTGCCTTTGCAGCAGCTGGGGAGACATCAGACACCGGGGAGTCAGGTCCCCGAGCTGCAACCAGGGCCTCTGGGGCGACTGCAAGGAGCAGCCCAGGTACAAATGATCATCCTCCTGGGCCATGCCAAAGTCTCTGTTGCAGACCCAAGTGTTTGGCACCCAGCTCTGGCAAGCCAGGGTTCTGGGGCTGGCCTCTGCTTGATGCTCAGGCTGCCTCCTGTGGCCTTGCTCCAGTCCCCAGGACCCACAACCACCCAGCCGCACACATAGGCTGCTATGGGTTCTGTCAGGAAAGATACCTTCCTGAGGGATGGTCCCTGGCCCTAAGGTCTCCCGGGACAAAGGGGAGCCTGCAGAGTTGCCATCTGCCTCACCCGTTTCCTGACGCAGCCCAGGTGGTACACCTTCCACTGTGCCAGGCCCTCCTGCAGCAGCTGCCGGCCGTGATGCTGGGCTGCCCTTTCCAGCTGGGCCCGCTGCTGGGCTGACCTCCGACTGCAGTCCCGCCAGCGCCGGAACCAGGTCCGCAGACGGCCTGGGGAAGACAGTGCCAGAGTGGGTCCTGGAGGTTTCCACCAGTGAGGACCCACAGGGAAGGTTCCAGTTGGACGATGTATGTGCGGGAACAGAGCTGGGGGTCAGACAGTTCCTCTCTGACCAGCTCTAGCCCTCTATGGGAGCAAGCACCTGAGGACTGGAACCAGCTCAGCTAGCCACTGCTGTGCCTACCATCCCAGAGCCACCCACAAGCAGCTGCCTGGCCCAGGCACACGGGAGACCCTGGGCCTGAGGAAGAAGAGCTGAGGACAGCAGGAAGAAGATGGAGTAGGCGGGAGAAGAGGAAGGGGCAGAGGAAGAAGAGCAGGAGGAAGCAGCTCATTCCAACAGGAGTCAAAGCGGCCTGAGCCGCAAGCCCGGGCAGGTGGGTAGGAGGGGCAGCATATGCCAGGCTGTCCCAGCTGCCAGGGCTCTGCAGGCAGCACTCGTACCAGGGAGCCCTGCTCAGGGGCAGGTGGCCGGCAGTCAACTCTGTATTGCACACTTCCAAGAATCATGCTGCCAAAAAATAATGGCAGGACATCCCATTTCAAAAGAGGGGAATAGGAATAATCAATACACGATCAAAACCCAGTAGGGAAACACTCCAAGTGCAGCATCACGGGTCAGGCAGCGCAGGCCAACTGTGACGCCGGGCGCCGACACGGTCTGGCCCAGTCATCTGTCTGCACCTCTCCGTCTTGACTATTGCACCGAGTCCTCTTGGCAACCCAAGAAATGGGTACCACAGATGAGCACAGCCAGGCTGCCCTTGGTTCCTCCCTGCCCAGCACCCAGCCCAAGGTGTACACCATGCACTGCTTCTGTGCAGTGCCCTGTGGTCCCTTGTGCTGTGATGGACATGGTGGCCTCAGGGCCCCTCACGGGCTGCCATCCCCTATATGGCAAGCACTTTGGAGAGGAGCCGTTTCAGGCCACAGCTTGAGCTGGATCCCTCCCAGTGTGGCCACGAGTTGGGGCACATGGAGGAAAGCAACCGACTGATGGAGCCTACGGCACTGGTTGCAAAAGCCCTGCCCACACAGAGGCCAAGAAGTGGGCAAAACCCATTCGCTTCTCCTGGCAGGGAAGAACATGGCGCTGGGCTCTGAGCTGGGGCCATGGGCCAAGCAGAGGAGGACACATCTGTGCCATGGAGCAGACGTAGGAAGCCACTGGCCTGAGCTGCTGTGGTCATCTGAAGTGTGAACCAATGGATGGAAGAACTCTCATTTTGAAACTCTGTAGCTTTGCCTTTCAAATAAAATAAATCTTAAAAAATAATAATAAGATTCAAAAACAGAAACATTTTCATCACCCCAGAGACACCCAGTATCAAATCACGCAGCCTTCCTGCCCCAGGAACTGCTGCTGTACCTTGTCTGCAGGTTTGTCTACTCTGCATGTTCATAAATATAGACTCACAGAATAAGAAAAAAAAAATCAAGGAAGCCAATCTGACAACGTGACTGGTCTCTGTGGTCCAACTTACACCACTGCAAATTACTGTCACATCATTTACAAGTTCATTTATTCTAACTACGAGCATCCCTGTGTGTCACCTGGCTGTGTCAGGGACGACGTCCCAGTGTCCCGGGGAATCTGTGTAACTCATGAGTGAAGTCAGACACTCTGGTCCCTGAACACACATGAACCTGGATATGGGGGGACAGTCGGTGGGACCCAAATGTGACGGGGGCTGCCCTGGCAAGCCCCTTCCTCGTGCCCCGTCCTTCCAGATCCATTCCCTGATTCCCTGCGGATCTCAAGCTTCAGCCTTTCTCATTAGCTGGATGGCAGCCTGAGGTGTGCCAGGCCAGGCCACCCCCTCCTCATCCTTCCCGGGACACTGGGCCTAGGGCTGGCACAGACCTCATCAGTCAGGACAATGTCAGACTGGAGCAGACCAGATCCTCAACAACACCAGTGTCCTTGTAGGGAAGGACTCAGGGCCAGGGAGAGACCACATGGGGCTGGAAGCAGGGGTGAAGTGGGGTGGTGTGTCCACAGGCAGGGACTGGCTTAGGTGCGGCCACCAGAAAGAAAAAAGAAAGACATCACCCCCTTCTCTCCCTGCCCCCTTCCCCGGGGCCTATGGTACTCCGCTACACAGCAGCAGAGAACCAGTACGGATGGAGAGACAGACTTGGGGAGCAGAGGGTACCTCAGGCATTCCGCTCTTCGAGGCGCCTTGCTTGCAGGCCTCCCCCTTACCTCTCTCCAGCGCCTTCTGAGCCTCCACAACGGTACAGGCTGCCCGTTGTCGGTAATAGATCCGCACGGAGGCCACCTCCCGCCACTGGATCAGGACCTGTAGGCAGGGAGGGACAGAGGGGCCAGCAGCCCACATCTTGACTTCTGGGGACAGCCCACGCCTGCCCCATTCCAGCCCATTCCAGAGGCGGCTGCTATCCATGCAAGCCCTAGGCCCCTTGCGGGGAGCCTGGTACCTCGGGTGCAGGGGCTTTTGTGGCAGAAAAACTTCCTCTCATGCCATGAGAAAGTCATTACACAGGTTTAATCCTGATATTATTTAGCAAACAGAACACGCACTTGTCTGTCCTGTTCGTATGAGAAAGTAAAATCACAGTAACAAAACGCTTAAAAAAAAAAAAAAAAACTGGTCACCAGGGTGGCCCCTGACCCACTGCACAGTCTCCGGTGCCTGGGCCTCTGAGCACTGAAGCTAAGCACGATTCCTGCTCTCCTTCCAGGGCAGCATGCCCTGGAGAACAGACGGGGCCTTGCCGGCATCACTGCTCCTCCTCCCAGGAGGCCGTGCCTGCAGCCAGTGACCAGTGGTTTGGCTGCGATGCTCGTGTGCCGTATCAGAGCACCTGCGCGAGTCCCGGCTGCTCCTGGTGGCAGCTTTGCACTGATGGGCGCCCTGGGAAGCAGTGGTTCTTGGATTCCTGCCACCCATGCGGGAGACACGGACTTGTGTTCTCAGCCTCTGCCCGGCTCGGGTCTGGCCATGGTGGACATTTAGGGCGTGAACCCGGGGTGGGCGCTCTGCCGGCGAGCTGTTGGGTGCAGCAGTCCTCAGGCTGCCTGGGATGTGCACATCCCGCATCAGAATGCCCAGGGTTCAAGTCCCGGCTCCATTTCCAATTACAGCTTGTCACTAACGTGCACCCTGGAGGGACCTGGGACCCTGCCACCTACAGGGAAGCCTGGTGCCTGGCATCGGCCTGACCCAGACTAGACTGTTGTGGGCATCTGGTTAGTGAACCAGCAGACAGGTCATTTCTGTGTCTGCCTTTCAAATAAAATGAAGACGAAAACACTTTCTTACAAATTCCCTCAATAAGCAGGATCAGGTCAGAGCTGAGAGACAGCGACATACCCCACATCTCCCACACGGTGATGAGAACCCAAACACTGAAGCCCACGTATGGCACTGCTTCCAGGCTGTGGTAGCACGAAGCCGAGTCTGCAGCTGAGCCCAGGACTTGAACCCAGGCCCTCCAATGCGGGACACAGGCGTCCCGGTGCCTGCGCCGGAACTAGTTCTTATTAGAATCAGTCTTTACTCCACAGGTGAGATTTCCCACGGACAGGCCGGAGGAGTCCCACGCTTTGGGCCTCCTGTTTGATCTCTGGCACCATGTCCAGCCCCTGCTGGGACAGTCCCCAAGCCCCCCAGGTGATCACCTGCTTGTCTCCCGAACCTCACCTTGGAACACAGGGTCCTTCTGTAGTGAGCCTCTGCCCGAGAGGCTCTCCTGGCTTCATCTACACGGGCCACGGTGTTCTGCCTCCAGCGGTGTAACGCCCACCTGCAGGTGCACGGCCCAGGGCAAACGCCCTCAGCAGGGGAAGCTTTGGGAACCACACTTCCACCTGGGCCAGGGACTTCGTGCCTCTGAGGCTGTCTCACTGACAGTAGGTTCACAGCCACTCGTGGCTGGTACTGACAGCACTCGCTCATTGTTCCCTGTATTCAGGAATGTCTGGAGGCGGTGGGGGGTGGGAGGGGGCGAGGTGACTCACGCTGTGACAACAGAAGCACAGGGACCAGGGAAGGTGGAGGGAGGGTGTGTGTGCAGGACCTCAGGGTGTCCTTGTCATTCTGCCGTGTCACATATGGGGCTCCAGAGTACACATGGATACTTGTAAAGGTCACAAGGCCAACTGTCCTCACACTGCAGAGCAGTGTGTAACAAACCATCACAAAGGAAGAGGGGGCAGGACAGGAGCCAGGACTACAGGAAAGGAGTAAACCCAGAGCTGGGCTTAGGAGGATGGGCCTAGGATGGGCCTGCCTGCCTAAGTGCCCTCCCCAGTGAGGGGCAGGTGACCCCACTCCTTGCAGGTGTAAAGCAGGAAGAACGTGCTCAAAGCAGCAGGATAGGCAAGCCCCCACAGGCTCCCGTGGCCCAGCCTGTGCCCAGCAGTCACTGTGCTGGCTGCAGAAAGGTCCGAGCCCCAGCAGGAGCAGGGGGAGGCTCTCAGGTCCAAGCCCCGCACAGGCCTGGCCTGTTGGCTCCTCAGCCCGGCCTGGGTGGGTTAGGGACTCACCGCAGTAGCCGCCTGTGGTGCCGCCTCTCCCTGGCAGCCACCTCCTGCAAGACACGCTGCACCTGCTCCCGGTAAGTCTGTGGAGACAGGAGGGCTGGGGTTTCACCCCTGAATCTAGTCTTGTCCCTGCTCCAGACAGGCTTCGTAGGGAATGCCATACCCACAGCACTCACATAGGGTGCAGAGCAAACAGAGGCCTGCAGGGCGGGGAGGGGGAGCCGTCCTGCAATCCCTAGCCCCCCTCCCCGCCCCACCCTGAGCAGCTCCCCACCTAGCGACCTTCCAAGGAGCATGCCCTCTGACACCCACTTCAGGGGCACCTGTGTGTGACTTGGGGAAGCGCTGTGCTTGATGGGCAAGAGGAATAAAGGAGGGAAACAGTTTCCAGAAACTTCCTGGGACCCCACGGCAGGCACAGGGTGGAAAGCAGGAGCTCCTACCAGCCACTTCCGCAGTGCCTGGCGCAGCTGGGCACGCTGATGGTGCAGGTTTGCCCGCAGGAGCTTCCGCTGCTCGGCTCTCTGCAGGGCCAGGCTCTGCAGGCAGAGGGTGGGCAGCGGGGTAAGGCGGGCGGGCCAGACCTGGCTCCCCTGGCACAGCTGCAAGAGTGAAGGGAAGGTACTGCCCCCTCTCTGCCTCTGGGTCCTCTCACTTGTGAATGAGGGCCTTGTGAGTGGGCAGTGAGCAGGCCTGCGTCATGGCAGTGAGGTCAGTGCTAGCTTAGACAGTATGTGACCCCGGTAGGTTCCTGTGCATGGTGAGTTCACATAAGAACAGCCGAGCACCTCAGAGAACCAGAAACTGCAGGCCAATCGTCTTTGAAAACCAAATTTGCACTTTCCCCCTCAGCTCGGGGAGGATGAGCTGTGGGGCGGAGGGGGAGCCCATCTGACGGAGCACCACCTGAGTACACAGCTTGTCTGTCCAAAAGCCACAGTGGGATGGCCCACTCTTTGCCTTACCTCCTGCCACCTGCTCCAGGCCCAACGCAGGAGCCGCGCCGAGTGCATCTTCACAGCCTGTGCCCTGCCCGTCCTCCTGGGCAAGGGAGAAGGGCAGAGGAACACGCAGAACTCAGCAGCCGTTCCAGTTGGGGCTGTCCTGATGCAGCCCCTGGGCCCCCACCCAGGGCTTCAGTTTGGGGCTCTCCCTTGGGGTATCAAGTACTAGCAAAGCCCACCCAGGTGCAAGTGGCTGAACCCTCTAACAGGGGAGGTCGTCATGTGTGTGTGCTGAGGGATGAGGTCCTCAGAGTACACAGTGGTGGTGGCAAGGTCCTGCCCCTCAAGGCACATGGTGAGTAAAAACTGGAATCACTCGGGATGGGTCCGTGTCACAGAGGGCTGTACAGCAGTGCATGCTGGGCGGGGAGGGGCTCCCAAGGCAGTGCCGACCACTCACTCTGTTCGCAGGCTCCAGGCACTGTCCCTCCAGGTACAGAATGCTTTCCTGAGCCTCCCATGGCAGTGGTGGGCGCAGGCCATGGCTTGCCACTCCTGCTCCCGGTGACGCGCTGCTGCCTGCTGGCGCCACACGGCCCAGGACCTGCGCAGTAACTGCTGCTCCGCGAAGAGGATGGCCTGAGATGGGATGTTTAGGGAAGGAATACAGAACACGCTGTGGGAACAGGGCGCACAGCAGCCAGGCAGGGATCCACAAGGCCAGAGACAATGGCTGCAGCCAAAGAAACGGGCGCCTGGGAGCAGCAGAGACTGACCAAGGACCCCGATGCCCCAGACCCTGCCCTGCCCTGCGAGCCTTGGCGTCGGCGGGGGGCGGTGCCAATCCAGGTTCAGGTGACCCGCAGCTTCTCACCATTCTCTCTGCCAAGCGGTTCTCTCGATGTTCCAGCATCTTCTGCCACCAGAGGGAAAACGCTTTCTTCTCCAGCGTCTCCCTAACAAGCAAACATACCAAGTGAGTAACAGTGGGGCACTTAAAACAGGGTGGTTGGATGGATGCATGGGTAGCTGGAAGGAAGGAAGGAAATGGAAGGGAAGGACTGAGAAGAGAGGAAAGAGGGAGGGAGATTGAGGCAGGGAGACAAGACGTTATCTTTTTAAAACTGTGTCTATAAAAGACATGAAATCTGTTCCTACTAAAAAATGTAAACAAAAAATCCAACAGGGCCCAGTGCAATAGCCTAGTGGCTAAAATCCTTGCCTTGCATGTGCCAGGATCCCATATGGGCGCCAGTTTGTGTCCTGGCTGCTCCACTTCCCATCCAGCTCCCTGCTTGTGGCCTAGGAAAGCAGTAGAGGATGGTCCAAAGCCTTGGGACCCTGCACCCATGTGGGAGACCTGGAAAAAATTCCTGCCCCCTGGCCTTGGATCAGCTCACTCCCAGGCACTGCTGCCATCTGGGGAGTGACCCAGTGGACGGAAGATCTTTCTGTTTCTCCTCTGCAAAAATCTGCCTTTCCAATAAAAGTAAATAAATCTTTAAAAAATAGCATTTTCAATAGTATCAAAAGATGTACACTACGTAGGGATACATTTAACAAAATACACAAAACCTCTGTGCAAAATGACAAAACACTGCTGAGAAAAACGGGAGGAAACCTGCCCGACGCGGGGAAGTGGGGGGGGTGGGCTCCGCATGGGAACAGCAGTGTGACTGCAGACTTCATTGGGGAATAAATAAAAGTCATCTAGAAAGACGGTGAAGAAGGCAGGCTCCCCCCCCTTGGCATCAGAGGCTCCTATGAGAACAGAGTCCTGAAGAGAGGGTGGTGACGGCATTAAGGACAGACCCAGAAATGGAACAGGAGATCCAGAGACAGGCGCGAACGGATACTGGCCGGCTGATTTCCAACACAGGGGTCAAGGCAAGTCCGTGTCGATGGAAACGCTGTCCTGCCTGCAGTGATCTAACCAGGTCCACGGAGCACGGGAACGCATCAGACTACTTACTTAGCACGCATGCCTTTCACTGTGGACCAAGGCAAACTAGATTTGTCTCATCCCTAATATATTTCACTAGATGGTTAACGAGTTCTCTCTTTTAAGTCATAATTCATGAGATTATACCAGAAGTTATCTCTATTTGCAAACATCTGAAAAATAAGGACGTATATTTACTTGAATTTGCTAAGTGCCAAGCCACTCTGTGCCTGTTTTCTAATCCCAGCAGCTGAGGGATCATTAATAATTTGTACTGTGCACTCTGTATTTTACATGTATTAACCCATTTAGTTTCCATGACAACCTATGAGACAGGAACCATTATCAAATCATCTTATACACGAGAGCCTGCAGCGCAGACACAGACCGACGGGCTAGCCTTGAGTCACGGAGCTGGCAGGTGGGGGAGCGGTGGTCTGCGCTCGGCCTGCCCAGCTCGCGAGGGGACTTAGTCGCCCTGCCTCCTTGTAAACCAGAAAGGCAGAGAGCAAAAAGTCTAGGTTCTCTGAGAAGGCCCGGCCAAAGCCAGACAGACACAATCCACGTCAGGTTTTCAGCATCCTGAGTCCACTGGCTACTCCTGGTCTCTCACAGCCCACCGGGCCACCAGCCTCTCGTCTCCAGGACTGACAGCTCTACAATCAGCCAAGCCCACTCCCCAGCCAGAGCCCCTCAGAGGCTCCTCTTAGCCACTGTGAAGGTGCCTTCAATTTCTGCTCCCCTGGCATGCAGAGTACAGAAAAGCAGTGGAACCAAGCCTATGTGCTTGGTTCCTAAAAGGAACTAAACCAGGGGAGGGGAATGTAGTTGAAGTGCAGCGGAAGTCATTTTCCGGTTAGTATTACGCCTGGCCGCAATATGGGAACTAGCTAATGGTGATGGCGTTGTGACTACAGGGGAAGCGGATAGCAGTTTCTAAGCAGCCTCTACGACAGCCAAGACCCAACTCGCTCAGCACATCTCTTTGGGCTTTGTGCCAAGGAGCCCAGAGTTCCGGCTGATTCTTAAACCAGCACTTCAGAGTCCACCAAACCCAAGATCATTATAACTTCCTCTACTACATGCCTGCTCCCCGCCCCTTTCCTCTGAGTGTCCTAAGTCTTCCATGCACCTGCTCAAACATGTGTCCGGCATTTACCTACAGGACGACCAGACACTCCTCGTCTTCCCTCACCCGCTCTGCTCACAGGAAGCCACCCCGAGACATCAAGGCTCCCCAGTTTTTCCTCTAAGCTCCGGAGTCCCTGTCATGCCTGGAACATGGATTTGCCCCTGTGAACTATGTGTCCACAGTTTCTTGCGCATCAGCCCAACCAGCTCGGAAACACTCAAGCCTCTGACGTGGCCACTGGGAAGACTTCTGCTTTGATGTAGAACGTGCTGGACTTTGCACTAGAGACGGGATCTAAGGCACAGCTCTGCCCTGACTGCCAACCACAGGCAGCTCGTTTATCATTCGGAGCCTGTTCCCTCAGTCTCTGAGGAAGGAAATTATTAACAAAGATAATGGTGTCACACGCACAGTGCGTTCACACAGCATGCTTCAAAAAGCTGTGGACAATGGGTTACGTGGGGGAAAAAACTGAAATCTGTACGTGTTTGGCGCATATGCATTTTCCACAAACTTTCTGAAGACTTCACATGCACCTCCTCTCATTTTGCACCGTGCCCACCTTAGTGTTCCGCACGCATGCCATGCAGGAAGGACCTGCTCGGAGCGAGTCTGCCCCCACAAAGCCCAAGCTCTGTTCCTTGACTTTTCCAACTCTGTCGATGCCCCTAAACACAAGACTTCCAAAAGCCGAGTCTGGCAGAATGGGAACTGAGTGCTTCAGGGAGCAGCACCCTCGGGAATGCCGGGCCCCGAGATGACACAGTCTCACCCACCCTGATCCTCTGTGAAAAGTGAGCAGGGACGAAGGGCGGCAGGAGCTTCTGGGGCTTCTGCTCTATATGGTTGCACTTGCAATCGGATATACATTTTTCCCAGGAGGAATACTGGCTGACTGTCCTGCTCAATGAAATCAGAGAGCCCACATCACAGGAAAAACCAGGGAGACTCGGAGCCTCGAGGCTGAGAAGCATTAAGACAAGGGGGCTGTGTGGTAGGCAGAGTCGGACGTGGGCAGCTGACCCAAGCGGGGGTTGCCACAAGCCTACCTGTGGAAGCGGGTCGCTCGCACGTACAGAATGCTTTCCTGCTGGCGCCACCTCCAGAGTCCGTGCCAGGCATGGAAGGTGGCAGGCAGGGCTCTCTGCTGGAAGTGACCATCTGCTCTGGCCCGCTGCAGCTGAAGGGAAATGGATGGCATTTGTGCTTCTTGTTTAAAAATCGTAATAATAATGACCTTTCAAGGTCAGACCTCTGGAGGGTTGCTTCTCATTGAAGACTTTAGAAAAATATGAAAACCATTGCTTTCGATTTTTCTGCTAATCTGTTGGGTGAAAAATGCAATGTGATAGAATTCAAAGTGGGTTAAGCAATTCTTCGTTTATAACAGGATACCTCCAGAAGTACATGGCAAAGTACAAACATAAGTTTATTTTAGCACCAAAAAAATTTTTTGAAGTTCACACCTAGTTTTTCATTACACACATTATCCATGAAATTTATATATAAATACATACACATGTCATTTTTCCTGGTGGCTTAGATGTCTACCACCTGACTTACCATCTTGCTATCAGCTTTTAATTCCATGATACACATGGGGCTTCCTGTAGCTTAAAACATTTATTAGATTTTTGTGCTCTGTTTTGATTTTGTTTTTTATGGAACTTGTCATGCAGATTCTTCACATGTTTACGTGGCTCTATGAGGCTGCCACAGACACGGGACACAGGAGGATATATACCTGCACGATCCAAAACTTGTGCAGGAGAGAAAAACTTCTACACAAATGTGAAGGTTTATTTATTTTTTTTTAATCGGCTCCTGCCACCCATTTTCAGAGTGAGACAGGCCCAGATCGGTGTGCCTCAATTTCAGGAGGGAGAGTTCTTTTTTTTTTTTTTTTTTAGACTTGTTTATTTTTATTGCAAAGTCAGATATATATATATAGAGGAGGAGAGACAGAGAGAAATATCTTCTGTCCAATGATTCACTCCTCAAGTGACTGCAATGGCCAGAGCTGCACCGATCCAAAGCCAGGAGCCATTTTCTGGGTCTCCCACATGGGTGCAGGGTCCCAAAGCTTTGGGTCGTCCTCGACTGCTTTCCCAGGCCTCAGCCAGGGAGCTGGATGGGAAGCAGGGCTGTTGGGATTAGAACCAGCGCCCATATGGGATCCCAACGCATTCAAGGCGTAAGACTTTAGCTGCTAGGCCATGGTGGTAGGCCCCGTTCTTTGTTAGTTTTGTTTTTTAAAGATTCATTTATTTGATTGGAAAGTTAGATTTACAGACAGAAGGAAAGACAGAAAGATCTTCAATCCGCTGGTTCACTCCCCAAGTAGCCACAATGGCCAGAGCTGAGCCTATCCAAGGCCAGGAGCTAGAAATGTCTTCTGGGTCTCCCATGTGGGTGCAGGGTCCCAAGGTTTTGGGCCGTCCTCAATTGCTTTCCCAGGCCACAAGCAGGAAGCTGGATGGGAAGTAGAGCAGCTAGGACACAAACTAGCACCCATATGGGATCCTGGCACATGCAAGGCAAGGACTTTAGCCATTAGGCTACCACGCTGGGCCCATGTGTGGAGGTTTTAAAATACCAAAGCCTTGGAACCCTGAACTCATAGGGAAACCCAGAAGAAGCTCCTGGCTTTGGACCAGTGCAGCTCCGGCTGTTGCAGCCAATTTGGGGAGTGAATCAGCAAATAGGAGATCTCTTGATCTCTGCATCTCTCAACTTCCCTTACTCTAACACTGTCTTTCAAATAAATCAATTTTTAACCAAAAATCCAGCTGTTGGATCTTTGCACCTCCTTCCTTGAGAAGCAGTCTGTGGCCTCTCCCCTTGCAGCTGGCTGGGACCGTGACTGCTCTGACTCACACAGCACGAGGTGACCCTGGGTGAGGCAACACAAAGGAACACAAGGCTTCTGCCTGGATCCCTGGGACGCCTGTGTCCTCCCCAGAGGCCCTCTGTCCAACTCTGCCAAGGCCCCAGAGCCGAAGGAAAGCCCAAGTCTCCTGGAGAGGCCTCAGCCAGCCTTGCACACCAACACCCCCAGGAAGCCCAGCCTTTAAGTCATTCCAGGCCAGGAAATGGGACAGGCATGCAGAAAAACTTCTAGATAACTCCAAGAATCTTGCCAGCTGAGGCCCCAGGAATTGCAGGAGCGCAGCCGCATCCAAGGTCATGCCTGGCTCAATGACTGTCCAGCAGAATGGCTATTACGGTAAGCTACTAGGTGGCGGTGGTTTTAAAGTATACATTCATTTATGTGAAAGGCAGAGTTTCAGAGAGGGAAGGAGAAATGGTAAGAGAGGGCTATCTCCCATCTGCTGGTTGAGTCCCTAGGTGGCCACAATGGGAGATCTGTTTAAGGTGAGAGAGAAAGAGAGCTGCTATGCCAGGGCTTGTTCCCTGGATGGCCTAAGTCGGTCAGGGCCAAAGTCGGAAAGCAGGAGTGCAGTTGCAGGCTGCTGGCAGGGAGACTCAATCACCCGAGAATGACCACTGCCTCTCGGGGCTACATCCACAGGGAGGAATGCCAGAGCCAGGCGTTCACCCCCACTCTGTGGGGACACGAGCAAACCCAAGGCCAAACACCCAGAAACCTTACTCTTCTTCAATCTTGCTCTTCCATCATGCCAGGACGTTAATTTATTTAAAGGCAGAGTTACAAGAGAGAGAAAGAAAAAGAGAAAGATCTTCTTTCTGTTGGTTCACTCCCCAAAAGGCCACGACAGCTGGGACTTCCAGGTCTCCCACGCGGCTGCGGCGGCCAAAGCATGTGGACCATCTTCTGCTTCTTTCCCAGGCATATGAGAAGTCAGCTGGGTCAGAAGCAAAGCAGCTCAGACTAAAACTGGCACCCACATGGGATGCCAGCACTGCAGGCTAACACACCGTACCTAGCATCCTCCTGACCCTTAACTTTCTACCAACGGTGGGGGGTCAGGTGGAGAAGGAAAGTTCCTCCTTCCAGAAAGGAAATAAGAAACCTGAATATACACCTTTTGACCCTTATCCCCCCCAGTCTTTCTCTAGAGAAGCTCCCTATATTCTGTCACACCTGCATTAAACACACACAGGAGCACAGGTGGCCATGTCCTCTTGGGGATGACAAAAACATTCCCCAGGTACAGAAGGACAAGGGCACCACAAAGGCCATAATCTGGGGTAATCCCACCCACACTCCTGGACCAAAGATGAACTTTGACTAAAACTAAAAGGCAGGAGCCCAGCACAGTGGCCAAGTGGCTAAAGGCCTCGTCTTTAATGTGCCAGGATCCCATACCGGCACCTGTTCTTGTCCCGGATGCTCTACTTCCCATCCAGCTCCCTGCTTGTGGCCTAGGAAAGCAGTCGACAACAGCACAAAACCTTGGGACCCTGCACCCACATGGGAGATCTGGAGGAGGTTCCTGACTCCTGGCTTCAGATTGGTGCAGTTCTGGCCATTGCACTCACTTGGGGAGTGAATCACTGGATGGAAGATCTTCCTCTCTGTTTCTCCTCTTCTCTGTATATCTGACTTTACGATAAAAATAAATTAATCTTAAAAGAAAAAACACTAAAAGGCAGTTCTATTGTTCACTTGTGCATTTACTTGTCCAGGTACTGGTCGGCATAGCCCCTCTGCCAAACACTGTGCAGGATGAAGAAGGGGAAAGAGACAGGCAGTGTCCTTAAGGAGCTCACAGCCTGGCAGGAGAAATGGGTCCACAGGTGACCGTGCAGTGAGTGCTCTGATAGGACTACACAGTTGGGCCTGGTGTAACAGCCAAGTGGTTAAAGTCCTCTCACCTTGCATGTGCCAGGATCCCATATGGGCGCCAGTTCATGTCCCAGCTGCTCCACATACTGTCCAGCTTCCTGCTTGTGGCTTGGGAAAGCAGTTGAGGACAGCCCCAAACCTTGGAATCCTGCACCCACATGGAGACTAGGAAGATATTCCTGGCTCCTGGCCTTGGATAGGCTCAGGTCTGGCCATTATGGCTACTTGGGGAGTGAACCAGCAGATATAAGATCTTTGTTTCTCCTTCTCTCTGTAAATCTGACTTTGCAATAAAAATAAACAAATGAATCTTAAAAAGAGAGAGAGACTACACAGGTGGAGGGCTGGGGAGGAGTGCACGCACCTGACAGAGGTAGTGAGGGGTAAAGAACTGCAGGTACAGTGAGAAGCGGAGAGCGGAGAGCACACTCGGTGGCAGGGGTGCAGTTAGTTGTAAAGGGACAAATGAGTATCAGGACAGGTACTCCTTCAGGGCGCACCTCCCACTGCAGTGTGTGTATCATCCTGAAAATGGACTCCATCTCCGCAACTACAGGGAGGAGTCAGAACAACGTGGAGATCCACGTGTTAGATCCAACACCAGGAGGAGATGCTGGAAACGGCGGCACAAATGACACTGGCCACATTGTGCTTTTTGTGTCCCCTGACCCACTGCCAGGGATGGCCAGAGAAGGGCACTGCTCCTGCAGGGCTCAGGCCACACTGCCTGCTGGACTAGCATCCCCCCCACAGCCTAGACGAAGGCTTGAGTTCCCTCTGTCAGCACTCCAGAGGTCTCCGGAGACCTCAGTTGTTCACCACTCTGCTGCTAAATTATGAGCGCCATGAGAACAGGAAGCAGGCAGTCCTGTGTACGCAGTCAGAAGCGCTACAGTTGTGAAGTAAGGGCATGGATGTCAAACTTCCCTTGCCAGTTTGTCATCCTGACCTACACGCCTGGGCACACCAGGTGGACATCATGTCCCACACTGCTCAGCACAGCATTTAGGCTCTGTACCTGAGCCTCCCAAGGGTCACACTGGGAGATGGGCAGGCTTACGCATATAATAAATAGAGGCAAAGATGCAAACGGCTGTTAACAGCTAATTGCTTTCAGGGCATCTGCTCTTCCCTAGCAGGTGAAGGAATGGGAGTGGGGCAGACTTCCTCACAATACCATGGGGACTGAAAAAAAAAAAAAAAACCAAACCTGAGTCTTTTTCCAATGTTCTATTTCAACTCAGACCCAAGACCTCTGGGCCTAGGCTTTTTCCAAGAATTTTTCCCAAGCAAATGCAGCCCAGAGCACAGCCAGCTGCACTATCTGCCACAAAGTATCCCATACCTGCTTGTGCTGCCTCTTCCGGGTATACTGTAACCATGACTTGATACACTTGTGCTGCAAAGCTGTCCTGAAATAAAACACAACGTCAAAGGAATGTCAATCTGCACTTTTTTTTTATTATTATTAATAAATTTTATTTTGACATTCTTTACATAGTTAATCAGGGTAAGAAGGTTCAAGGGCTACAGGAAAGTGGATAATACTAGTATGTTTTCCATATTGTTAGCTTCATATTTAAAGGCGGGTATTTAAGGGAGAAGCCCACCCAATTTCCCACCCTCCCCAGGTCCCGGATGTAGGGCATACTCTGAGGTTCTTGCTCAAGTGGTTTTGATATTGCCACAGTTATGAATCGCTGTCAATCTTGCCACTCCAAGCACCATGAGATCTTTGAAAAATCCACTGATTGACACTTTTTAAAAGTTTCTAAAATTTTGCTCTGTTCTTAAGGTGAGTAAATCTGGGCAAGCTGCTCTTTGAGAACTAAAAGGAAACCCACATTGTGAAACCCACATTGGGAGGAGCCAGTCAAAAGCCATTCTGGAAAAGACGGAGATGAAGATTCTTCAACTCCTAATTTTAGACTGAGTAGCCTACAAATTCAGAAAAGTTTCTTGTAAATCTGATTCGATCACCCAGCACAGTGTCGAGTTCCATGGTCTGCATCTGTGACAAGCTCACTCCCCTTCTCTCTCTCTCTCTCTCTCTCTCTCTCTCTCTCTCTCTCTTTCTCTTTCTCTTTCTCTGTCTCACACTCACACTCACTCTCACACACACACACACAGACACTGTGAGAACCACATTCAGTTTTATAAGCCAGGATTTAGAATCCTGACATCTCCTGGTAACAGAATTAAGTCCGTTGAATACTGGGATTCTCACTCACTAAAAACCTCCAGTGATGGACACTGTGTCTCCAGTGTTAAGCTGTTTCTTGGGAAGCCCAGACCCCATGCCAGAGCGCCTGCATCAAGTGTTGTCTCTGCTTCTGCTGCAGCTTCTGCTACTGTGCTTGCGAAGCAGCAGGTAATGCTTAAGCACTTGACCTTCTGTCACTCACAGTAAGACACAGATGGGAGTCCAGGCTCTGGGCTTCAGCCTGGTCCTGCTGCAGGGCCCGAGTCTTAGAGGGAGTTTTTGACTATGTGCCAGATGCATTAGCAGGGAGCTGGACCAGAAGTGGAGAAGCTCAAACTCCAACTGAGGCTCTTATGGGATGCTGCAGTGGAGTAACTGGTTGTGCCACAATGCTGGTCCCCAGGCAACTTTCATTTTCACTTCCTATTTTCCTTCCTACACATCCTGAGTTTCCTTCACATATAAGTGGTGCTTTAATTTCTCTAACTGAATGACTAACTCTAAAACATGGGGGACACTTCCTGCACCCTTTGAGTCTGAGCCACAAATATGACAAGTACCTGCCTGAGCTTGGAACATCAGCAATGCAGTGTTCCAAGACCCGAGCTTCCCTCACACTTGAAGGTCAAGACAATGCAGGAAGAGGCTCCAGGTAGAGACCGCACACCAGGGGGGTTAGAGACGAGCATGACCAGCTGCACCCTACCTCCAGTCCAGACAGACATGAAACGCTAAGTTAGAAACCAGGGGTCGGGAGCAAGGCCTCCACCCCAAGAGGCTTTTCTGAACCAGGTGCACTAATGTGTGTGAGGAGGGGAACGCGCTCACACTGGGAGACAGGAAGTTGGAGTCGCAAGGTGTCCTGACAGAGTGTGAGGAAGAGGCTGCAGCCCTACCTGTAGTGGTCCCAGGCCGTGTGCAGTAAGGGCACCTGCTCTCTTTCCTCCCTCTGCTCAATCCGACACTGCCAGAGGTCCCAGAACCTGCGCAGCAGCTGAGGCAAGACAGGAAAGAAAGGGGTGCCTACTGAGGTGAAAGGCAAAACCATCATTCTTCACTTGTGGGGGGCGGTGAGCTCTCCCAAAGCAGAAAGCACCTCAGCATGGAACAACCAGCACACTGGCCTGCCAAGCACCTGTGGCAGAGCTGGGGAGCTGAGGAAGGCCAACGTGAAGGGCCACTCCTCCCAGGGAGATGGAAAGAAGCTCTTCTTAATCTGGGCCTCATACAAGACAATGGTATTTTAAACAAATCACTTTAGAAATTATACTTATCATATGTTACTGCCTATGAAGTAGTCCTACCAAAAAAAAGTCTAATTTCAACCTAATCCAGTCTTCATTATTTTAAAAGATTTATTCATTCTTATTGGAAAGGCATATTTTATAGGGAGAAGGAGAAAGAAAGACCTTCCATCCTCCAGTTCACTTCCCAAGTGTCCATAACGGCCAGAGCTGAGCCTATCCAAAGCCAGGAGCCAGGAGCTTCTTCTGGGTTTCCCACACGCATGCAGAGTCCCAAGGCTTTGGGCCGTCCTTCACTGCTTTCCCAGGCCACAAGCAGGGAGCTGGAAGGGAAGTAGAGTAGCCAAGACTAGATCTGGCGCCTATATAGGATCCCAGCGCATACAAGATGAGAGGACTATAGCCACTAGGCTACCGTGCCAGGACCCTAGTCTTAATACTTAACTTACAGTTTATAAAAACAACATAAAAAAGAGAAATTTATATGCCATTAAAAAAAAAGAAATCATCAGAGGGCTGGTGGTATGGAGCTTAAGGCAGCACCTGGCATTCTATACAGGCACCAGTTTGAGTCTCAGCTGCTCCACTTCCAATCCAACATCTGCTAATACTCCTGGGAAAGCTAAGAGGATGGCACAAACACATGAGCCCCAACAGCCACATGGGAGACCTGCGAGGAGTTTCTAGGTCCGGGTTTTGGTCTGTCCATTGAGGCCATTTGGCGTCAACTAGCAGAAGAAAGATCTGTCTCTCTCCCTCTCTCTTTTAAATAAATAAAACTTTTTTTAAAATCAGATAAAATTGGAATTAAGGAGACTATATAAAATAACTTTGTCCCTTTTTTTTTTCCAGGAAGTCCACATCATTGGTGGGGGAGAGGGGATGCTGAGTGGCTGGCACATACCTGTTTCAACAGAACAAAACTGTAGGATTCTACTTCTGAGCTCTGTAAGAGCAGTGAGACTTACACAGGATGAAGTGGAGGGGCGAGGGGGCCGGGGGAATGGAGGGGAGCGAGTGATCAATGGGCAGTTTGTTGTGCATGACGCAAGCACCCCGGAGACGGAGGCTGATGACCGCTGCCCAACACCGCATGTGCTTGGTGTCACGGAACGGGAGTTTAACGATGGAGGAGATGATAAACTCAGGTTCCGTGCTTTGTGCCACCATTAAAAGCTAGAAAAGCTAAACAACCATGTGAGAAACAAGCAGGGTAAGAGAAGGACAGCAGAGCCAGATTCTGTCTTCAGAGACACAACAACCAAACAAGGTGAATGCTCCTTAACTGAACCCAAGGCTTGAAGAAGAAAACAGAAAACCCCACACAACAAAGCTGCAATCACATTGACAGGAGCAGCTGTGGGAATCTGGACATGGGTGATTCCGGCAGGAGTGATAATGACATTGTGGTTGTGGAAGACAACGTCCTTATGTTGGGGTAATGCATACAAACTGTCCTATTTACAATCTACTTGAAAACGATTCAGCCAGAATACAGCAAACGTTAACAAGCGCTGAGTCTACCTATGGATCTGTAGATGGTAGTATTGCTCTACTTTACTGTGTTTGAACGTTTTCACAAAACAACAAAACTGACCCAGAAACAACGTGTACAAGCAGACATGTCAGGTCAACAAGCCCCTGAAGAGAATGGATTGATAATGGAAACCTCAGAAGACCGTCGAAGGCACAGTGACAGAACAGACCCTAAGGTGCAAGACTTGAAGTATATTCATATCAACCACAGCCCTTTGGCCAGGGTTAAAATCCACAGCACTCAACATCTGAGTCAAGCATTAACTGTCTTGGCAAACAGAGAATAAATGGGATCAAACAAGACAAATATAAGGGTTTCTCTATCAGCAAGTATGGATTACCTAAGAAAATGGGCACTGAGGTTTTTGGGAGTCCAAATTCTAGACACATTTTTAAGTGTACAGGCTAGGAAAAGGAGAATCAGGCTGGGCATGGTAGCCTAGTGGCTGAAGTCCTTGCCTTGCACGTGCTGGGATCCCATAGGGATACTGGTTCTATTCTAGCTGCTCCACTTCCCATCCAGCTCCCTGCTTGTAGCCCGGGAAAGCAGTCAAGGATGGTCCAAGGCCTTGGGACCCTGCACTTGCATGGGAGACCTGGAAAAACTCCGGGCTCCTGGCTTCAGATAAGCTCAGCTTCTGGCCATAGTGCCACTTGGGGAGTGAATCAGTGAATGTTAAGATGTTCCTCGCTGTCTTACCTCCTCTCTGTATATCTGACTTTCCAATAAAAAGAAATAAATCTTAAAAAAAAAAAGACCACTGATTTAAAAAAAGAAAGAAAAAGAGAATCACTATAGAATGGGTCCCTTGGGACAGGTACTGGGTTAACAGTTAAGACACTGACATCCCACACTGAAGTGCCTGGGTTCTGTGCCTAACTCCAGCTTCCTGCTAACGTGGACCCTAGGAGGCGGTAGTGATGGTTCAGGTAACTGGATCTCCGCCAGGCATGTGGGAGACACAGGTTGGGTTCCTGATGCCTCGCGTTAGTAACCCAGCCCAGCCTGGACCACTGCGGGTATTCAGGGAGTGAAGCAGTGGATCAGAATGCACACTCTTTCTCTCAAATAAATAATAATAATAAAAAGAGCCAAATCCCTTGGCACAGAAAAGAGCCCTCACCGTCACACTGTGCTGCTGGTGAGCCAGATTCTTCCTGATTCGCTGCAGACGGGCACGGGCCACGTTGCCTTTCAGGGCTCTAAAGCAAAAGTGCTGGCGAAAGAAAGGACACAACCAATCACAAAGACAGGAACTGGCAGAGTCTGTAAAAACAAAGGCGGACAAGGCAAGGCAGTGTCCTCAATCAGCAAGCAAGCTCCTATGATGCTGCCCCTTCCTGAGTGTTGAAGTTCAGTCAGGAACCCGCCCAGTGGGTATCTCAACATCTGGCAATTGCACTGCCCAGCAGCTCTGCCCAGCACACACGCATACACGCTCACCTCCCACATGCACACACACACAAAATACACACACATGCACACGCTTGCCTCTCATCAGGGGATCCCCTGATGCACATGAGAATTCCACAAATATCAAACACTAGCTCTTTCCTCTTAAAAAATTGAGAGAAACTTTGGGTCTTGGTGGTATCTTTGTGTAGTCTGCTGACATGGAACAGAAGGATCCCTTGGTGAGCAGGAGGCTGGGGGAGGGACAGGATACCCAGGCCTGGTCCAGTTCCATCAGCACCTCATGTACCATGTAAACCCACGAGCACTCCCCACCCTACTCCACCAGGCCCTATTCCAGGGCTTCAGCTTCTGGCGGCAGAAGTGAGGAGTCCAGACGGGGTCTGTGCTTGTGTAGTGTGCTTTCCAGGACCCCACAGGCTCCTGAAGGACCTTGTTCCAAGCACAGCACTGCTGTGCTGACTGGCTTTAGGCTTCCACTACCAAAAAGGACTTCCACCACATTCAAGAAAAGCCAGATTACTTCTGAGGTTCTTCCACAGTTTCAGAACACTCTGACCCCACACCACTGCTGTCCCTGACCAAGAATGAAAAGCAGGGGCACCACTGTGCAAAACCCTGGGGTGGGTCGCCCAGGAGCCGGAGTCTGGGCAGGGCTGGCGGGGCCATGGTGCTCTTACCAGCAGGCTGAGCCTGTAGTGATCCTCTGCCATCTCCACCAGGGCTACTTCCTCCGCACACAGCAGCATGTCTGCCAGGAAGTTAAGGCCCCAGGGTCTCAGCACAGTTCCCACCCCTGCACATCCCAGTGCCCTGAAGGGTCCTAGCCAGAGGTAAAGGCCTGTATGGTAGGCTGATGCTTCCAGTTCCTCCTAGGGGACCAGGGAAGCAGTGGGCTAGTTACGTAACAGGCACATGCCTGGCCCTGAGCTAAGCTGCTAACCTCCCACCTTGGCAAACATTTCAAGACCTCTGCATTTGAGGCACAGCCCGTTCCTTCTCCGCGTGCAGGTTGGCATCACAGCCCAGTCGGGTGTCTGAGCTAAGAACTCCCAGTTATTTTCACATGTTTTCTCCTCCCATCCACTCAGAAGCTGAATCCATCTGCTCTCCTGCAAGCCTCTCCTCACCTCCTGCTCTTCCGTCCTCACCATCAACACCCCATAGCCCCCCTGGCCTGCCCTTCCACACATGCTGGAATGTGACCTCCCCACGTAATAGCCTCTCTCATCAAATCCAGAATGCTCTTTCCAAAACACACATCTGACTGCTGCTCTTCTCGAAAACCTCCAGGGGCTCCGGGTGGCCCTCAGGACGAAGTCCAAGATTTCTGTGCTCTGTGAGAGTGTTGCATAAGCCGGGCCCCTGCCTCTGTCGACCCTTGCTCAAAAGCCTCTGCTCACGCCCAGCCTGTGGACAGCCCTTCCTGACCTCTCGGGGTGAACTTGCCACCCCACAAGACCCCAGTCCAACACGGCCTCCCCGGCTGAATCTCCATTGGCTCTGGCTGGACTTGTGACAATCACACCATGCTGTGAGGCCCCACTGTGTGGACCGTTTTCTCTATCGGACAATCGACTCTTGTTAACCTTTGAGTTCCCCTGTATCCTGGAGCTTAAGGAGGGTTTAGCGTGAGGCAGGTTCTGATGAGTGTCGGGGGAAGTGCTGCTTCTTGCACTTGGGCATGCACATCAGCATGGGGCAGCGAGTCAGAACACATGCCCAGGAGTCAAAGGCCCAGGTTTAGAAAAAATGTCCAGGCTCTGTGGATGGCCTGCTGTGATATGGAAAACCGCTCAGCCCTGCCTCAATCTATGTAAAATGAACACCGTGACTGGGGCATGCTCTTCAGGGCTACCGGGAGGACTGACAGGGTAGCACATCTGTCTGTGCACAGCCAAATCTCTGCAACAGGAAGCTGTGACCACAGGGATGCTGTGACTTAGAGACAGCTGCTGCACTTCCACCAATCAGAAGGTGGAGAAAAAAACAGGGTGATGACACCAAGAAATTACAGTGAGGCAGGAGCAGACCGGGGTTGCCAGCAGTGTTCTTCAGACTGGGTGGTGGGCACCTCGCTGTTCATTTTTACTATTGTCTTCAAACTGTAAGTTCATGTCTCTTGTCTTTAAACTGTAAGTTCATGTGTCTCTTGCACGCACAGCCCTCATGCCACAAAGAGTAGCTGCCTTTGTTGTGATTCCTGCCTTTTGTTTCACCCACTGCTGAGTTCAGCCAGGCCTGGGTGCCTGAAAGGATACAGTGTTTCCAGTGCACAAAGGCCCTTCGCAGGGCCATCCTCTTGGCCAGCTCCTGCACTGGGGCCTGCTGGGCGTACAAGCTCTGCCTCCGCTCCAAGGCCCACTGCCAATCACAGAAGTGGATCTGAAGCATTGTAGCACGGTGGAATCGCCTGGCCATCTCTGCAACAGACACACAACTTTAGTGGGGTGTGGAACAGGCCAAAGGCAACTAAACACACACAGCGAAAGAGGGGAAAAGAGGAGGGTGAGTGAGTGAGGGAAGAGCATATGTCCACCCCCTGGTCACTCCCACTTACCCCTACCCTACCAGCCAGGGCCAGGAGCTGGGAAGGCAATGAGGTCTCCCACAGGGGCAGCAGGATGCCCCCTCCTGGACCTACACGAGCAAGAAGCTGGAATCGGCAATGAAACCCAGGCACTCCAACTGTGGGGTGCACCTGCTGTAGTAGTCTCTAGGTGAAATGTACACTCCTCAAAACAATGTTAAGACAATCCAACCCTGCCCTGGCAGACAGCTCCTCTCACACAGGACCCTTAAGCAAACACTTCTTAAACACTGGAGGTTCACAGTGAATCCCCCGAGCTGTTTCTTCTCTCTTGGGGAAGGAGAAAAGCCTCAGGACAGTAGGAGGCAGGAGGAGTTAGGGGATCAGTTACATCGCAGAGCCAAGGCTTCCACTTGGGTGAGCCAGAGGAGACTGCTGCTGTCCAAGGGTACTCTGCCTTGATTTCCACCTCCGTCCACACATCTCCCAGGCCGAGTCAATACCACCCAGCCTGATTGCCAGAATGCCCAGCTTTGTCTGCTTTCAATACTTCCACCAGCTAATGGCCACAGGAAACGTAAGGGCATCAGTCAGGAACTCAAGCGCTCTAACTGCAGGCAGGGGACAGTCTGTGGCTTTGCTTTCTACAGCTTCAATTCCCTCGGGGTCGATGAGATCAGAAAAGCTCAGCATCTGTCTGGGCTCTTTGAAGACAGAGTGTGAATACGGTCAAATAGTCACATAACTTAGTATTATTGTAAGTCACTGTTATTAATCTCTTCTGATGCTGAATTTATAAATGAAATTGTGCCATGGGTACATATACACAGGAAAAATATACTATACATAAGGGCAACGTACCACCGGAGGTTTCAGGCATCTACTGGGTGATAGACATAACCACATGGATAAGGGTGAGCATTATGTTTTTTAAAGATGCATGAAAATGATAGTAAGCAGTTTTGAAAAAAAGATACAGAACTGTAGGTATCGTATCACTCAATCATTATCTACAGCATAAATAAACCCCTGTTTGAACACAATATATGCACGGCAGAAAACAGAGGGAACTCAGGGTGAACCGTTTTCTTCCTCAAGCTCCTTTGAATAAACTCTGTGACATAAGGTCACATTTCTTCTTCATAGGCAGGAATTTCAAAAAGTTCACAGAAAATAGAATTAAAAGATAACTCTCCTGGCAGGGTAGCCTAGTGGCTAACATTCTCGCCTTGTACGCACCAGGATCCCACATGGGCGCTGGTTCGAGTCCCAGCTGCTCCACTTCCCTTCCAGCTTCCTGCTTGTGGCCTGTGAAGGCAGCAGAGGCCTTGGGACCCTGCACCCACATGGCAGACCAGAAAGAAGCTCCTGGCTCCTGGCTTCAGATCACCACTGTGGTCACCAGGGGAGCGAACTATAAGATGGAAGATCTTTCTCTTTGTCTCTCCTTCTCTCTATAAATCTGACTTTCCAATAAAGATAAATAAATCTCAAAAAAAAAAAGATACTTCTAGGGGTAGATATTTGGTCTAGCTGTTCAGATGTCCATATGCCACACCAGAGAGCCAGAGGCAGCACCCATCTCCAACTCCTGACCCCAGCTTCCCCTGGTGTGGACCCTGGGGGACAGTGCTGATGACTCTTTTTGGATCATATGCATTTCCACACAACTTTCTGAAGATCTAGTAGCAGCATTTCAAAAAATTTTCTGCACCAAAATAAATTTACCTGCTACTCCATTTCTAAGAAGCCTTCAGAATTCCCCTCACAAAGTCGTCCTGACAGCAAAAGAGTGGAAACTAGGACCAGATCCTCTGCATGCATGGGCTCCCGACTCACCATTCTTCTGCCTCTTCGCTCTGCGGACGTCCAGGTATCTGAGCCAGGCCTGCAGGCACCTCTGCTTTTGCCGGTTCTGATGGTGTATCACCGCAGAGACCGCCTTCTCTCTCCCCCTCTGGCTTTGCAGAAGCTGCTCCCGCCACTGAGACCAAGCCTGAAAGCCCAGACGACAGTCAAGGTTTCAGAGAAGAAGCACAACTGAGGAAGGTGAAGATGGACATTCTCCGGGGAGGACAAGATTTTATTTTTAAGATTTATTTATTTGGGGCCAGGCGGCGGTGGCCTAGTGGCTAAAATCTTCCCCTTGAATGCGCCCCGGGATCCCAGATAGGCGCTGTTTCTAATCCCGGCAGCTCCACTTCCCATCCAGCTCCCTGCCTGTGGCCTGGGAAAGCAGTGGAGGACGGCCCAAAGCTTTGGGACCGTGCACCTGCGTGGGAGACCCGGAAGAGGTTCCGGGCTCCTGGCTCCGGATCGGCATCACACCAGCCATTGCACTCACTTGGGGAGTGAATCATCGGACAGAAGATCTTCCTCTCTCTCTCTCCTCTCTGTATATCTGACTTTGTAATAAAAATAAATCTTAAAAAATATTTATTTTACTGGAAAGGCAGATTTACAGACAGAAGATAAAGATCTTCCATCCGCTGGTTGGATCATTCTCCAAGTGGCCACAACAGCTGTTAACTGAGCTGATCCCAAACTAGAAGCTTCTTCTGAGTCTCCCATGCTGTTGCAGGGTCTCAAGGATTTGAGCCATCCTCTACTGCTTTCCCAGGCCACAATGAGCTGGATGGGAAGAGGAATATCCAGGGCACGAAAATCAGTACCCCTATGGGATCCCAATGCTTGCAAGGTGAGGGTTTAGCCATTGAGCCACTGCACAGGGCCCAAAGGAGTGATCTTTGATCAGACTGTGGACCAGATATGAAAATGCTCCACTTCCCTTCCAGCTCCCTGCTTGTGGCCTGGGAAAGCAATAGAGGATGGCTCAAAGCTTTGGGACCCTGCACCTGCCTGGGAGAACCAGAAGAAGCTCCTGGCAGCTCAGCACTAGCCATTGCGGCCATTTGGGAAGTGAACAGCAGATGGAAGGATCTTTCTGTCTCCCCTTCTCTCTGTAAACGACTTTACAATAAAAATAAAGCTTTTAAAAAACTTCCCAATTTTTACACTGTTCAGAACTTAGAGAAATGTAGCAAGGTGTTAACAAGCAGTTAAGCTGGGTGAAACATGCATCATGACTACCTTTTCTGTGCTGTTAATAGAAAGAAAAATTTCAGAGGACTGTCACAAAGACACTTCCTGAAAGGAGTAAGCCAGTGACGCTCACAGCACACCCACTTGCCACCCAGTCACTTTCCTGGTTCTCTAAGATCCTCAGACAGGCCGTTTTCAAACCTCTCCTCTTTGAGGCCAGCTTTCTTGACCCTCCTGCCATCAGTAGCTTCCCTGAAGCTGCTCTTATCCAGCGCCATCTGCGATCTTTAATCTCCACGTCACTGGACGCAAAGATCAACGCTCGGCCCTCGCCCCCCCCCCCCCCGGCCTGCCAGAAGCACTGGCCCAGCAGCTCACCCCTCCTTTCCCTGGCTTCTGGAACACCGTGGGCCCCTCCTGCCTGCTACCCATGTCCTCACAGGCTCCACCCTGGATCCTCTCCTCTCACTACGCTCCTTCTCTTGCTTCCCTCCCCTCCTGCCGTGCCTGTAGATTCCACCTCCCGACCATCTCCCTGGAGTCTCCCCACAGACACTCAGGAAGGCCCAGCCAGCGGAGGAAACAGCTCAGTAGAGGGTTGCTCCAGCCTCCCCTCTCAAACTCACTTCTTGCTTAGTCTTCCCCCCCACGTGGAGTGTATCTCTGGAGGTCCATGTGTTATTTCTCTGACAGCAAATTCTGTAGGTTCTAATGTCCAGACTACGGCCAGAATCCAACTACCACTTTACTAGCATCCTGGTCCAAAATCTCACCTAGAATTTTTGAACAGCTTTCTTTTTTTTAAAGGTTTATTTTATTTTTATTGGAAAGGCAGATATACAGAGGGGAGAGACAGAGAGGAAGATCTTCCGTCTGATGATTCACTCCCCAGGCGGCCACAACGGCTGGAGCTGAGCCAATCTGAAGCCAGGAGCCTCTTCCAGGTTTCCCACACGGGTGCAGGGTCCCAAAGCTTTGGGCCGTCCTCGACTGCTTTCCCGGGCCACAGGCAGGGAGCTGGATGGGAAGCGGGGCTGCTGGGATTAGAACTGGTGCCCATCTGGGATCCCGGGCATGCAAGGCAAGGACCTTAACCACAGCGCCATCACGCTGGACCCTTTTTTTTTTTAAACTTACTTATTTCAGAGGAGAGCGAGTGCTCAACTGCTGGTAACCATCCAAATGTCTCAGGTGGCTGGGACTGAGGTCAAGGACTCAATCCTGGTCTCCCAGGTGAGCAGCAGGAACCCAACCACCCCAGCCATCAACTGCTGCCCTCCAGGGTCTGTACCATCTGGCAGCTAAAGTCACGCACGGAACCCAGGGGCTCTAACACAGGATGCCGGCGTATCAATCCCCAGGCCCAACTCCTGGGCCCTCTGGTCCATTCCTAACAGAAAGATCCAAGTGGCTCTCCTTGGTTCACTTTGCTTTGGTTGTTACGTCACTGAAATCCTTTCTTTCTACCTGATCTTTCCCTTCGTGTTTTCTTTCATGTCAAGTATCAGAGAAACCATCACTTACCCCTAACGCACAAGATGAAGCCTAGCCTTACTTAGAGCCTTGTATAATCCGGCTGCATCGGTATTGTCTTTGCTACTCATGTCTCTCTCTAGATTTGACTCTGAATGACTTCTGGGTATTCCAACCTCAAACCATAAACACTTGCTATCACTAAAAATACAGTCAAATCTGTTCAGGCACACTTGCAGACAACTATAAAAAGCAAACACTAAATATGTTCTGAGCCGCACTAGTTTAAGTAGAATGAAAGTGGCTTTCTGAAAAGGGGAACTTGTTCGTCAGAGACAGAAAACCGTGTTCCCACACGTCCAGCGTTTTCCCGCTGTTTGTTTCTATCTCCCTTCCGAGGTGACAGCGCTGGTAAGGACTGCTACAGCGTCTGTGCTTCAGGGAGAGGCTCTGTTAGCATTTTCAGGATGCTTGGAATCAAACCCTGGCTCTGACCTTGGCTACACATGACCCTGAGTCAAGTAATTCAAAGTAATTCAACCTTCAGAATTTCCTCAGCAGTAACCGGAAAAAAAAAATTAGAAAAAGCTTATTAAATCAGATGAAACAATGCATGCAAAGCACATGGTCCAGGGCCCACCGTGAGTGAGACCACAATGGACCCACAATGGATGCTACTGTGGCTGCTACTGTTACAGTTAACAGTACTGGCAAGAGAGTGTCTTTTATTTCCTTATTGCTGGCTCAGACAACCTCATGAGTTCAGGCCAGCCAGCTTTCTCTTTAGGGGTCAGGTAAGAAGTGTTTTCACGTGTGCTAGCCTTTCAGTCTCCCTTGCAACCACTTGGCTCAGTCCTTGCAGATGACACATACACTAAGGGGTGGGTCAGTGACCCCATAAAACTTTATTGTACAAAAACAAGCAGCAGGCCAAATGTGGTAGCTGATCTCAGATCTAGACAACTGGATATGCTGCTTGCACGTTATCTGCAAATACCCGCAGAGTGTGTGCAATATGTTGTCAGTTTAAACACATTCTTGGTGAGGAGATAAGAGGGGGAAGAGGCACTCTTCCTACATCTAGTAACAAGGGCTTTTTTTTTAAATCCCTCTTCTTCCTTGTTTCATTTCCTGTAACTAATTTGCCAGTCCTGTACTTACAAGACAGACACAAGAAAGTGACAAACTCAGCGAGGATGTCAGAGAGGACTCTAAGACAGTTTCACTACACATGGTGTGGATATAGGCCCGAGGCCTTTTTAGCTTGCTGAAAACCAGTGGCTTCCCTAAAACTAGCCTCCTCAGATAAAAAAGCTAGGTTTTCTTTTCAGAAGTGGTTATTTCCTGTTCTCACAATTTTCTTATTTGCTGAATGAGGAGGAAGTAAGAGTTCCCTGCCGTTTCATTCAGGTCTCTTGTTCAGTTCAGTTACCAAATGCTCTCCGGAAACTGTCGGCCATCATGCCTGGGAGGGGCCTGGTGTGGACCCGGTGGCGGTTTGCTGAGAGCTCAGCTCTCCCCACGGCTGCTGTCCCTGCCTCTCCCGAGCTCCCTCGGCCCAGCACAGCAACAGCAGCATGATGGCTTCCCCAGGGGTGTCTGACCCCCATGACTTTGTGGGTGTGGGGCTGACGCATGGACAGAGGACACCACGACCCAAGTCCAGTGTACCTACCTGCAGCTGGAGGTTCAGAGCCCGGTGCTTCACAGCTGACGCCTGGAGGGCACGGCTCCTGCAGGCCTGTCCCAGCTGCTGCCTCCACTTCCTCCACCCCACCCTGAAAGAGTAAAATGAAGGTCACCTGGGCAAGAGGACAGTTAGGTGCTGGGTTTCAGATCCTCAGCTCTGGTCCTTCTTCACCGTGACATCTTCTAGGTTAGGATCTGCTAGATAAACTGGGAAAACACACTCAACAGCTGTGAGAAACCAGCTGTGAAACAATTCTGGGAGCCTTCATCGTTATGGTGGGTTAAGCCACCTCCCGCGGTGCCAACATCTCATATGAACACTGCATTTGTATCTTGGCTGCTCTACCCAGTTCCCTGCTAGCTAACGGTCTGGGAAAGGCGGCCCAGGATGGCCTAAGTGTTTGGGTCCCTGTCACCCACATGGGAGACCTGGAGGAAACTCCTGGCTCTCTGCTTCAGCCTGGCCCAACCACACAGCCCCTGTCAATGCGGTCATCCAGATAGCAGGTCTGAGGATGGAATCTGTCTCTCTCTCTCTCTCTCTCTCTCTCTCTCTCTGTAACTCAGTCCTTCAGATAGGTGGAATGATACAAACAAAAAATAATTCTGAAGCTGCTAACTAAGGGTTGGAAAGTGATGGTCCCTGAGGTCAGATGCAGCCTAACTTACTCCAGACATTTTCTCTTTAATCTAGTTTCTCTTCTTAAAACAATAATGATGATTACTGGAGCAGGCATTTGGTCCAGTGGCTAAGATTCCACTTGGGATACCCAGAGACCAGATCAGAGTGTTGTGGTCGGAGTCCCAGCTCAGTGGATTCCAGTTTCCTGCTAATGCAGACCCCGGGAAGCAGCAACTGAGGATTCACACGGTTGTGTTACACTCGAACTAGTTTCCAGCCACCGTGGCCTGGCCCAGATCCAGTTGTTGCAGACAGCTGGCTATAAACCAGCAGTGGAAGCGCTGTCTCGATTGCCTTTCAGCTAAACCAGTGAGTAGAAATAATTCTTGTCCATACTTATATACCATGTGCACACTGGTAGTGACTGTGGTCTGCCCGCCTTGCTGGATTCCTTTCCTTCCCATTGTCCTGGGCAGGCTTTCATTACAGGCTTGGTTTCCTACTGACTTGCTTTCCATTCTGCTGCTGGCCAACAGCTGTGAGACCCCAGTTTGTGGGCTCTGCGTCCTGGACACCCTCACTCGCCTGCTCACTCTACCCACAAAGAGCACCTTCTTCCTAGCCGAGGCCCTGCTGGTCCAAACCACTCCGACACCTCAAGCTGTCTCTTAGCGTTATTTTTAAATACTTGGCTCCTTGGAGACAATCCCAGCACCAACATAGTACCAGAACATTTTAAAGGTCTCAACAAACATATGTCAAACAAACGAATTCATTATTAAAAAAAAAAATATATCCACCATAGACTCAAAGTAGAACTGCACACTAATTAAGTATTTAAAAATACTTATGAAGGAACATGCATGTGGCCTGGCGGCTGAGACACTGCTTGGGATGTCCGTGTCCTTTGGCAGAGTGGCTGCGTTCGAGTCCCCACTCCACTCCCCAACACAGGTCCCTGCTGATGCACATCTGACAGACAGCAAGTGACACCCCAAGTACTCGGGTCCCCGCCGCTGACACGGGAGACCCAGACAAAACTTTGGACAACCAGCTTGGGTCTGGCCCAGCCCGGGTTGATGCAGGCACTTGCAGAGCGAACAGCTGATATTTTGCACCCTGCTAAACTCTTTGCAGACAGCACCATGTTTGTTCCCCATGACAATCCTGAAATACACTCAGCGGTGTGGTTATTCACTTCCCTAACAACGAAATGACCCATTAATAGGAACGTGGAAACAGGGATTCAAACCCAAGACAATACTACAGCAAAACCTCTGCTCTCTCCCATATTCCAGGCCCTGACTGTTCCAGCAACAACTAGTTTTAATCTACCACCATTCAGCAAACCATGGTACCACCAGACGGATGCATAAGGGTATCAGCCTTACAATAAAGCAGCTCCCTGTTTTTCTAAAGATTTTATTTTTATTGGAAAGTCATATATACAGAGAGGAGGAGACAAAGAAGAAGATCTTCCATCTGCCGATTCACTCCCCAGGTGGCTGCAATGGCCAGAGCTGAGGTAATCTGAAGCCAAGAGCCAGGAGCTGCTGCTAGGTCTCCCACACATGTGCAGGGTTCCCTCCTCTACTAATTTTTCAGGCCACAAGCAGGGAGCCGGACTGAAAGTGAAATAACCAGGATACAAACTGGCACCCATATGGAATACCCACACATACAAGGCAAAGACTTTAGCTACTAGGCTACTGCAATGGGCCTGGTTTTTAAACTTAAAAAAAAAAGTGTGTATTCAATTGAGCTGGCACAGTGGTATAGCACATAAAGCTGCCACTTACAGTGCCCAGCATCCCATACATAGGCTAGTTCGAGTCCTGGCTGCTCCACTTCCAATCCAATTCCATCATGTTCCTGGGAAAGAGAAGTTGGCCCAAAGTCACGGGCTCCTATACCCAGTGGGAGAACAGAAGTTCTTTGCTTAGACTGGTCCAGCGTCAGCCATTGCAATATTTGGGGAATGAACTGAAGGATGAAAGAACTTTAATTCTTTCAGAAAAATAAATTATATAGATATATCTCTTTCAGAAAAATATTTAATTGTGTGTGTGTGTGTATTAACTGAAAGAATTAAAGAAGGAAGTGACAAAGAGGGAAAAGAGAGCTCCCATCCTCTGGTCCACTCCCCAAACGGCCATACTGATGGCGCAAACCTAGAACGCCGTCTGGGACTCCAGCGTGGGCAGAGCAGCCCAAGTACCCGGACCATCTTTCATTGCCTTCCCAAGCACATGAGCTGGGAGGTGGACTGCAGCCGTCATCAGGATTAGAACCTGTGCTCACATGGGACACCAGGACTTCAGGGAGCCTCTTCGTGGGTTTTGATGTGGCTTCCCACATAACTGCTGATGGCAGACAGTGGCAGCTGATCTGGGGCCTGATCGAGTGTACTCACCGTAAGATACTCTGCTGCCTGAATTCCAGAGCAGCAGCGTGCATCTCTAGCTTGGTCCGACGAACGACCACGTAGATCAGCCAGGACTTCCAGGCCCGTCGCACCTTTTGCCTAGCATCTAGACACATCAAAGAATGTATTATTATTATTATTTGTACATGGTGAGGCAGCTGTATTACTTTGAGTTAATGCCAAAATTTCAAAGTTCTCTGTACTCATCCATTCTTTGAATCCCTGAATCTTTCTAGCCTTCATGTGCCCCCTGCTGGAAACGTTGTGAACTGCTACAAAATCAGCAGGCAGAGGGACAGGTGAAGAATTACACTAAGTGATGACACTGACATTATGGAATTGAAGGAAGCCCAATGTACTGAACTGTTCAAAGAGTCTTTAGTGGGCTCAGTGGGTTAGTGCACCCCATCTTGCACCCACAGGGATTCCATGTGGATGCTGGTTTGCATCCTGGCAGCTCTACTTCTTTTCCAGCTCGCTGCTTGTGGCTTGGGAAAGCAACTGAGGATATCCCAAGGCTTTGGGAACCTGTACCCACATGGGAAACCCAGAAGAAGCTCCTGGCTCCTAGCTTCAGATCACCTCAGCTTCTAGGCACACTTGTAGGGAGCTGGATTTGAAGTGGGGCAGCCAGGACTTGAACTGGCATTCCCAATAGGGGATGCTGGTGTCACAAACCTAACCCCCTGCACCACACAACAACAGCCCCGTGAGCTAATTGTTCAATCTGAGTGACAGGTACACAGAGATTCAATAATCTTTCAATTGTGCAGGTATTTAATAATTACCATAATATAACGGCAAAGAAGGAGAAATTATATTAGAAAACTTTCTAACAGTAAGCAGGAAAAACAAGATGTAAGAAAACTACATAACTGGAAAATAAATAAAAAGGACCAATAAAGGTCATAGAAAAGAATTTCCTAGGTGTGGGTAGAAAAGCCCATAGGTGTCCTTACGTGGTAAATTCCATTTTCATTATGAAAGTTACCATTCATGAAGTCTTTTTTTTTAAGATTTTTTTTTTTATTGGAAAGTCAGACATACAGAGAAGGAAAGACAGAGAGGAAGATCTTCCACTCATTGCTTTACTCCCCAAGCAGCCACAATGGCCAGAGCTGAGCCGATCCAAAGGCAGGAGCCCGGAACCTCTTCCAGGTCTCGCATACCGGTGCAGGGTCCCAAGACTTTGGCCCATCCTTCACTGCTTTCCCAGGCCACAAGCAGGAAGCTAGAAGGGAAGCAGGGCCACCGAGACATGAACCAGCATCCATATGGAATCCTGGCACATGCAAGGTGAGGATTTTAGCAACTAGGCTACTGCACCAGGCCCCATACGATCTGTTTCTTTTTAGAATACAATGGGGATTCCTTGCCCTATGGAATTGTACCATAAAATTCAAAATTAAATATCTTAAATGTGGGATCAAGGCTCCTGGCTTTGGATCATATTAATTCTAACCATTGCAGCCACTTGGGGAGTGAATCAACGGATGGAAGATTTGTCTGTCTCTCCTTCTCTTTGTATATGTGCCTTTGCAATAGAAATAAATCTTTAAAAAAAAAGAACTGAAAAAACAAGCTAACACTTGTTCTCTCATCATAATGAAATCACTAAGAGAAAAATATAAGACCCCCAAATATTGAAAAACACAACACACTTCCATGGGATAAGGATGAAGGCTCAAGTTAAACTATAAACACTTCTTGTTACTGAGTGAAAACAGAAATCCAACATTAAAATAAACATGATGTGGATAAAGAGTTTCCACCAACTTTTAAGAAGACTGATTTATTTGAAAGGTCAAGTTACAGAGACAGCAGAAAGAGAGTGACGCCTTAATCAGCTGGTTCACTCCCCAAACTGCTGAACAGCCAAGGCAGGGCCAGGCCAAAGTCAACAGACAGGAGCACGGTCTGTCTCCCACATGGGCGCAGGGGCCCAGGCACTTGGGCCACGCTCCACCCTTTCCCAGGTGCATTAGCAAGGAGCTGGGTTAGCAGTGGAGCAGCTGCGACTTGAACCATCGCCAATACGGGATGCTGGTGCTGCACTGTGCTGCATGGCTTCCGTTCCTTGATGAGGCTTCCCCTCAGACAAGGAGAGGGGAGGAACAGAAGGTCTAAGTGGTGAGGGTGTGTGGTCCCTGGTTGCACCTGTGATCAGAAGAACTGGAGGTGCCTGGAGGATGTTCAAGAAGGATGGCTATGAGGCATCACTAACCCAGGCTGTGTTTGTGTTTTGAAGGCAGACACACTGATCAGAGCTAAACTGGCTGCAGGATCATCAGGAGCAACGTGAATACTCAAACATGAGCTCTGAGGCTGCAGTGGTGACGCAGCCTGTGAAGCGGTCAGGCACCATGACTGCATACCATAGGGGTGGCCAGTTCAAGTCCTGGCTGCTGCACTTCTGGTTGAGTTCCCTGCTAATGTAACTGGGAAAGTAGTGGAAGATGGCTCAAGTGCTTGGGTACCTGCTCCCAGATAAAAAAAAAAAACTGGGAGAAGTTCCTGACTCCTTTCTTTGGCCTGGTCCAGTCCCAGGTACAGTGGCCATTTGGGTAGTACCTTTTAAATAAATCTTTAAAAAAAAAAAAAAAGAGCACCACCACTCTGCTCCAGACTTTGTGCAACCTGACAACGTGGCCAGAGAGATGGAGGGGAGACACATGGGCACCACACTGAACCAGCAGGCTCGGACAGACCAATCTACACCAATCAGGGCTAACTGTGCTTACAGCACAAAGAACACAATATGTGGAGAAAAAACATAGGAATCTGATCACATGAATGGTTCCACTCAGAAAATACGGAAGGGAACAATCACACAGATCTTCCCCTCCAGCAGGTGCAGCTGTTGCTTAGGGTACCAGTGCCCCACACCGGAGTCTTGGCTCCTGTGCCTCCAGGTGAACTTCCTGCTTAGGGTACCAGTGCCCCACACTGGAGTCTTGGCTCCTGTGCCTCTAGGTGAACTTCCTGCTAGGGCATCCTGAGGGGTAGCCGATGATGGCTTAAGGACCTCGACTCCTGCTGCCCATCTGGAAGAACTGGATATGGACTCTGACCTGGCCCAGCACCTAGGAGTTCTACTTCTCCCTCTTTCATTGGCCTCTCAAAAGAGGAGAAAAAAAGAAAGGAAAAAGTCTTCTGAGACACAGTTTGCAGGTCCTTTGAGCAAGAGTGAACGCGCGCCTCGTCTTTTGGCACGGACTTCCTCGCCTCACCGTGCTCCTCTGCCATCAGGGACTTGATCCTGCTCTCCTGCTGCTGCCGCACGTAGCTCTTCCAGTTCTGGAACATCAGGTTGTACAAGTAGTACCTGCGGAGGCAGCAAAGCAAGCGGCATTCAGAACAGGAACGATTCCTACTCCAACACATTCGGTCTGTTCTCGCTGCAGAAGATGATTTTACGGAACTTGGACTTCAGTTCACAGTTCATGCCTGACGACCACAGCGAGGCCCATTCTCCCTCAAGTGCAGCCGTCCTCCACACCTGCGAGCTGTTGCTGGGGACCAAAGACAAGGCCCGGCTCCTGAAGAACACCTCCCCTTCCACAATTCTCAAGATCAGCTACATCTTTTCATTTTTTTTTTTTAAAAAGATTCATTTATTTTTGTCGGAAAGGTAGATTTACAGAGAGAAGGAGAGACAAAGGTCCTCCATCTGCTGGTCCACTCCCCAAGTGGCCACAATGGCCAGAACTGAGTTGATCTGAAGCCAGAAGTCAGGAGCTTCCTCCAGGTTGAACGCGTGGGTGCCATCCTCCACTGCTTTCCCAGGCCACAAGCAGGGAGCCAGATGGAAAGTGGAGCAGCCAGGACATGAACTGGCGCCCACATGTGGGATTCGGGCAGATGCAAGGCAACGACTTTAGCTACTAGTCTACCACGCCAGGTCCTTACAACTACATCTTAATAAACTGTCCATACCATGGAAGACTTTAGTTTTCCTTGCTATGAAACATGGTCAATGACACTTTCTTCCTTTTTTCTTTCTTGATTCATGCACCACATACCATATACCTTTATCATCATTATCACTATACTTTCACTACCCCAGTTCCTCAGTCTTGGGCTAACGTCCACTGCATTCCCAGGCCAATAGCAGGGAGCTGGATCAGAAGTGCAGTAACTGGGACTTGAAAAAGTGCCCGTACGGGATGCCAGCATCACAGGTGGTAACTCACCCTGTATACCATGGCACCGGTCCCATTGATGTATTCCTAAATAGTCACAAATCAGCTCTTGGTTCCTGGCTTTGGATCAGCGCAGCTCTGGCTGTTGCAGCCGCTTGGGGAGTGAATCATTGAATGGAAGATCTTCCTCTCTATGTATATATCTGACCTTGCAATAAAAACATATCTTAAAAAAGAAACACAGAGGTAAAAACCTCAAATCAAATAATCAGCATGATAAACATGTGCAAGCATACCTGCATTTAGGATTTTAAGAATTTGAAGAAAAATAAAAAGCAACTCAAAACTTTGTTCCTTTTAACCAGAAACGTTCCAATAATCACTTCTGATAAGACGTACATCATATATTTGGCCAGGTGTAAACAAGCAAAGTGACATGTCTGACCTGTAGTGACAGTCGGCTCGGACACAGAGTTTCCACTCCTGGTGGGAAACCCACCACTCTTCTTTCCACGCTTCAAAGACCCTCCTTAGGACTCGCTGCTTATGGTAAAACCTAGGGCAGTGAGAAAGAATCCAGTGCTCAATATGACATCTAATCCCAGATCACAGCGTTAGACTGCTGCGGCCACCTCAAACCAAAGCCAAAACGACTTTGTTTTAAATACTGGGGGTGTAGTCCAAGCCTTGGACCCAGCCGAGGATGCTGCCCCATCTACTCACACCCTGCGGCTACTTCAAGCCTGCTCTGTTTCCAACCCAGATTCCTGGTGATGAGAATCCTAGGGGACAGCAGCTGATGGGTCCCTGTGTGCTGTGGACCCCTGCCAGCCATGTGGGAAACTAAGATGGACTTTGAGGCTCCTAGCTTCAACCCACATCAAGCCCTGACTGTTGGGGGCATTTGGGAAGGGAACTGGGGGTCAAAGATCTGTCTCTGCCTTTCTAATAAAGTGAAATTTAACTTATATTAGAAACTGGCTAAGCATTTTTTTTTTTCATTCTAGAAGCTCATTAATGTCTGGTTTTAGTTCCTGGCTCTAACTTCGAGACGAAGCTTCTCTCCAATGTAGACCCCAGGCAGTAACAGTGGTGGATCCACTAGCGGGACTGTTTTCCAGGTTCCTGGCTCCAAGCTCTTGCTGGCATTTCAAGAGTAAACCAGAGGATGGAGGCTCTCTCCCACTGTCTGCCTCACACTCCGTCTCTCAAATAATTAAAGGATTATTTTTTGCTTTTATTGGAAAGTCAGATATGCAAAGGGGAGGAGAGACAGAGAGGAAGGTCTTCTATCTGCTGATTCATTTCTCAAGTGGCCACAATGGCCGGAGCTGTGCCAATCCAAAGCCAGGAGCCAGGAGCTTCCTCTGGGTATTCCACACGGGTGCAGGGTCCCAAGGCTCTGGGCCATCCTCGACTGCTTTCCCAGGCCACAGGCAGGAAGCTAGATGGGAAGCAGGGCTGCCAGGACACAAACCAGTGCCCATATGGGATCCTGACGCCTATAAGGTGAGGACTTTAGCCACTAGCCTACTGCATCAGGCCCGATAAATTAGTATTTTTTTCAATTCCAGAACTCACATGTTGGGATATAACATGTATCAGGTTTATATGTGTCACATACATTATTTGTATATTCGTATTACACACACATGCACATGTGCATAAGTGATTCTATCATATATTAAAAGCATGAAAAAAGATCTTGAAAACCAATTTATTACCAGAGATTCTCTCTCAGGGAGAGACCACAGGAGACTTATTTCCTGAATACATTTCTGAAATATTTTAAAAACTTGGAGACACATTTACTCATAATTTTAAAAATTGTAATGCAAAAGAAACATTTGCACACAGAATATATCTACCTCCTCCACTCTCCAAATGCTGATAAAATAACAGCAAATGTATTTAGCTCATGAAGACAAAGCCAAAACCAGAGAGGGGGAGCCCACTCTGCACCATGCGGGTGCAGGGTCCCAGGGCCTTGGGCCGTCATCTTCTGCTTTCCCAGGCCATAAACGGAGCTGTATCAGAAGTGGAGCAGCCAGAACACAAACTGGCAACCATACAGGATGCTGGCTCTTAAAGGTGGAAGGTTAGCCAACTGAGCCATCACACTGGGCCCACAAATAAGACTTCCTAAAACTAGGTCTTTTAAGATTTTATTTGTTTTTATTCGAAAAGCAGATTTATAGAGAAAAACAGCGACAGAAAAATTTTCCATCTAGGGCCCGGTGCCATGGCCTAGCAGCTAAAATCCTCGCCTTAAATGTGCTAGGATCCCATATGGGCGCGGGTTCTAATCCCCGCAGCTCCACTTCCCATCCAGCTCCCTGGGAATCCCAGAAGAAGTTCCTGGTTGCTGGCTCCTGGCTCCAGTTCAGCTCTGGCCATTTGGGGAGTAAAACAGAGGATAGAAGATGTCTTCTGTTCTTCCTTCTCTCCGTAAATCTTTCAGGTAAAAGCACAAAAACTTAACCAAAAAAAAAAAAAAAAAAGGCAAATCATTTTATTAAATAAAGCACAATGTTAAAAAGCTTTCAAGTTGCCAGGTAGAACACGTTAGTCACTGACTAACCCAACGGCCACTGACAAGGCCCTACTTCCTCATCAGCATGGACACAGAGCCCAGGTAGACCATTTGCTCGGCCTCCCCTGGAAGCTGAACGTGGCCAGTGAGAAAGCTCTGGCTAAGGAGACAGCAGCAGACATCACCAAGAGCTTCCAAGGGATCATCTTCCCTGCTAGAGAGATAAACAAGATACGGGTATTTGGCCTAGCCATTAAGAGGTCAGTTAGGTTATCCACGCTGGCTACTGGAATACTGGGTTTGATTTCCTAGTCCAAGACCCTGATTCCAGCTTCCTACTGGGAGGCAGTGATCAAGGCTTCAAGAGTTAGGTCCTTGGCACTCAAACAGGATACCTGGATTGACTTCCTGGCTCTTGGCTTCAACCGCCGCTCCACCATGGCAGACATTTGGGTGTCAACTGGCAGAGGGCAGCAGGAGAGAATCCACAATACGTGCTAACATTTGCGCTTTTACACAGCGATTAGACCCACCGCCTGCAGCGCCAGCATCCCATACAGGTGCCAGTTCAAGTCCCAGTGACTCCACACCAAATAAAGCTCCTTGCTCACGCACCTGGGAGAGCCGCGGAAATTGGTCCAAGTGCTTGGGGCCCTCCACTTGCATGGGAGACCTGAAGTAAGCTCCTGACCCTGGGTTCGAACAGGCCCAGCTCAGGCCACTGTAGACACTTGGGGAGTGAACCGGCAGGTAGAATCTCTGCTTCCATTTCTTCCTCTAATTCAGCCTTTCAGGTAATTAAACTAATCTTTAAAAAAGAAGAAACATGGGGCTGGTGCTGTGGCATGATAGGCTAAGCTTCCATCTGTGACACCAGCATACCATATTGGTGCCAGTTCATGTCCCAGATACTCTACACTTCTTATCCATACTGCTTATGACCTGGGGAAGCACAGAAGGATGGCCCAAAGCCTTGGGAACCTGCACCCTGTGGGAGACCCAGAAGAAGCTCCTGGCTCGTGGCTTCAGATGGGCTCAGCTCTGGTGGTTATGCTTATTTGGGAAGTAAACCAGCGAATGGAAGATCTTTGTTTTCTCTGTCTCACTGTAAATCTGACTTTCTAATAAAAGCAAATTTTTTTAAATTAAATTTGGAAGCATAGTCAACAACACATATGAACTTAGGCAACAGAAATTACATTAAGTGAGACAGCCAGGAAGAAAAACAGAAATACACAGTATCACTCATATACAAGCTCTCAAAAAGCCAATCTCGAACAAGTTTAAATAACTGCAATAGTGGATACCCTAGGCAAATGGTAAATACTTGGGGTGAGAAGTATCCTAACTACTCTAATGTGATGATTATACAATGCATACATGTATGGAACCAGTACATATCTGCTAAATGTATATGTAACATGTGTCAAAAAACCCACAAAACCCTACTATGAATGCCACAGAAATCCGGTGTTTTGAGCTAATACTACCTGGCCTGAGAGGGAAATACTCTTCCGAAGGTCACGCGGATCCACAGATACAAGTACTTCCTGCCCACACACCTGCAAGAAGGCAAGAAAGAAGATACGCATTTTAACATTCTGTGTGGGCACAGGCTTAGGGTTTGGTGTACCACTTAAGATGCCTACATCTTACCCTGGAGTGCCGTGGTTTGAGTTGGCTCTACTCCCGATCGCAGCTTCCTGCTAAGGCAGTGCCTGGAAGGCAGCAGGTGACAGTTCAAGTGGCTGGGGACCTGCCGCCCTCGTGGGAAACCTGGATGAAGCTCCCAGTTTTGGCTGCCTAACCTGGGCCTTTCTGGGCAATCAGGAAGTAATACATGAAACTGTCTCTCAAATCACATAGCTCTCTCAGGTAAATAAATACTTTTTTTAAAAAGGAAAAAAAAAATGAATGGATATCTACAGTTCCAAACTCCATGAGGGGCCATTGCTGGGGCGCAGTAGACTAAGCACCCACATCCTATAGGAGAGTCAGTTTGAGTCTAAGCTGTTCTACTTCAGATCCAGCTCCCTGTTGGGGCGCCGGGGAAGGCAGTGCATGATGGTTAAGTACTTGGACCACTGCCACCCATATGAGACACCCAGATGGAGTTCTAGATTCCTGGCTTTGGTCTAGCCCAGGCATGGCCAATGTGGCCCTTAAGGAATGAACTGGTAGATAGAAGACATTTTTCTCTCCATGTAACTGTGCCTTTCAAATAAATAAATACATCTTAGAGACAAAACAAACAACACAAAAAAACTTGCATGTGGCATACATCATCAATTTTTTAGAAAGGTAAGAGTGTCTTTAACATCTCAGGAGTGGGCCAGTGTTGTGGTACAGCTGGTTAAGCCACTGCCTGCAACACCAGCATCCCAGCTAAGTACCAGTTCAACTCCCAGTGCTTCACTGCCAACGCAGGTCCCTATTAACATACCTGGAAAAGCTAAGGAAGTCTTGGTCCCAGTACTTGGACCCCTGCTACCTACATGGAATACTCAGAAGGAGTTCCAGGCTCCTGGCTTTAACCTGGCCCAGCCCTGGTCTTTGCAATCATTTATGGAATAAATTGATGGATGGAAGTTCTCTTTCAACTACATAATACATTTTTTTTTCCAAAAAAATTGAGCTAAAAAAAACCCCAGGAAGATGACACTAGTATGAGTTAATGGTGATGTCAACCTTATATCAAACCAAGGATAGAATGGTGACGACTTATAAAGCTAAAACCAAACCAACTGTATGTTAAAAGCATTTTTCAGGGCGAATACTGTGGCAGAACAGGTAAAACCAGTGCTTATGATGCCAGCCTCCCTTGTGGGCACAGGTTTGAGTCCTGGCTGCCTGGAAAAGCAGTGGAGATGGCCCATGTGCCTGGGTCCCTGCACTCAAGTAGGAGATGTGTGAGGAGATTCTGGATTCTGGCTTTGGCTTGGCCCAGGGCTGGGGAGAGAACTAAGAGAAGGAAGATCTCTCTCTGGCTCTTTCTCTCTCTCTCTAACTCTTTAAAAACACATATACATTATATATATAGTCAATGAAGAAATAAAGACTTAAAGTTAACACAAAGGAAGGATATGACAGTTCTCCCTATTATTCTTCCTGCCTAAAATACTTAGCAGATCTCCCTAAACCAGAGAGCGTGACTGTGTATTCCCAGCACTCTGGTCACACCCCTCATGTGACACATAACCCTGCATCACAGTCATGGCCTCACTTGGCTGGCTGCCACTCCCCATGCACTATGAACCAGCAAGGTGGCACCAGGTCTTATAGTATCCCCAGTAGCCAGCACAGCACCTGGTACACACCCTTGGAAAGGTGTCTGTTGGGAGTCTGCATTGTGGTATAGCAAGGAAAGCCACCAACTGTGCTGCCAGCATTCCAAACAGGCACCAGTTCAAGTCCTGGCTGCTCTGCTTCCGATCCAGTTCCCTGCTTGGGAAAACCAGTGGAAGATGGAACAAGTACTGTGCTTGAGCCCCTAGCACCTATGTGGGAGATCTGGAAGAAGCTCCTGGCTTGAGCCTGGCTCAATCCCGATCATTGCAGCCATCTAGGGAGTGAAGCAGTGGACTGAAAGATGTGTCTTTCTCTGTCTCTTCCTCCCTGTAAATCTGATTTACAAACACATAAATGTCAGAAAAGGTGACAGCCTGATCCAGCGCAGCTGTGTTTGGGCTTGGGACACCCCTCCTCTTGCCCTGTCTTAAATTCTGTTACTTTCCTCCAGAATTCAGTACCAATCCTTCCTCCAAAGGTAGCTGCTGACTATACTAGTGGGGCCAATCTTGCCACGTATACCTGGGTACCACGCCCTTCCCACAGCATTTACCACACCTTACAACTGTGGCTTAACATTTGGCCAAGCATATTTGATTTTCAATGTTCCTGCAGTTATGGATAGCTAAGAATGTTGTCTTTATACGCTTAACATTTAGCATAATATCTGGCAGAGTTGGCATGAACCAAGCTGCATTGAATGAATAAATGGATGCCTTTAATGCACAACAATCATTTTTTTCTTGGACCTAAAGTCAGCTTTCCCTGGAAGAATCTTTACAATTTACATAAGACAGGGCACAACTGGAGAAAGGCTCCTGTCCGCGGGTTTCGCACCCCAGTGCTCACCTGCTGCGCAATTCTCTCAGCCGGCCCTGTCGCATCCTAGCCCGGGAGGAGAGATGCTGTGCTGGGTGGCTGGTACCGGGCAGCTCCCTCCGGATCCCCGAGAAGGCAGACCTCCTGTTGGATATCATCTTTGGAGAATAAGCCTTCTTGAGGGCACCACCCCTAGAAGACCTTCAGTAGGGGAAATTGGAAAGGAGAACATAAAACGATGGCTACGTGCGACGCCAGTACCACTTCACACACAGGTAAAATGAAACAGATAAACTCACTGAAGCTGATCCTAGCCCATCTCGGACAGAAAGATGCTGCCAGTTACTGCAGGTAAACCCTGCTGAGTCTGCAGGGAGCACAGGGCAAGAGGGCACCCTGGAGTCACAGGCCCAACAGATTCTTTTGTCCTTTGTGTTTTTAAGGGAACTCATCCACAAATTAGAAAAGGCTTCCTTTATATGTAAGAAAAAATAAAAACAGAGCAGTCCTGGCACAGTAGCCTAGCTGCTAAAGTCCTCGCCTTGCATGCCCAAATGGGTGCCAGTTCTAATTCCGGCAGTCCTGTTTCCCATCCAGCTCCCTGCTTGTGGCCTGGGAAAGCAGTTGAGGATGGCCCAAAGTTTTGGGACCCTGCACCTGTGTGGGAGACTCGGAAGAGGCTCCTGGTTCCTGGCTTCAAACTGGCGCAGCTCCGGCCACTGCAGCCAGATGGGGAGTAAATCAACTGACAGATGATCACCCTCTCTGTGTCGCCTCATCTCTATGTATCTGACTTTACAATAAAAAATTTTTTAAAAAAGACAACTGATTGAACACACTTATCTCTTCATATCATGTATATGTAATTGCCTTCAAACCACAACTGATGCAGAAACAATCTTGTTCAATAAACTATCATGATTAAAAAAAAAGATTTTTCAGATAATGTAGCCTATGAAATCACATAAATTTATTAAACAATGAATTGCTGGTTTCTATGTCATCTAAGAAACATTAAGAAATTATCTTTTACCATCAGAAAGGAAAAAGGCTGGCCGGTATTGTGCCACAGCAAATTAAGCCACTGCCTTTGGTGCCAGCGTCACAAATGAATGCTGGTATACCCAGCCACTCTGCTTCGGATCCAGTTCTCCAGCACACATGGGAAAAGCAGCAGCAGATGACCCGACTGCCGGGCCCTTGTCACTCATGTCGGAGACCCAGACAGGGACCCTGCTTCTGGCTTTGGCCTGACACAACCCTGGTTGACGTGGCCATTTGGGGAGTGAACCAGTACATGGAAGATCTCTCTGTCGCTCCCTCTAACTCTGCCTTTCAAGTAAGTAAGTAAATATTTTTAAATAAAAGAAGAATAAAGACGAAAACAGAGACAGAGCCCTGTAGTGTTGGTAATTTTTATTTTCTTCTAAAGATTCATTTACGTATCTGAAAGTCAGAGTTTACAGAGAAAGAATCTTCCATCTACTGGTTCACTCCCGAGATGGCTGATGGCAAACGCTGGGCCAGGTTGAACTCAGGAGCTGAGAGCTTCATCCAGCTTTCCCACATAGATAGAAGGGGAACCAAACTCCTGTACCTTCCTCCACTGCTTTTCCCAGGCCATTAGCAGGGAGCCAGAGCAGAGGTAGGGCAGCCAGGACGTGAATCAGAACCCATATGGGATGCCAGCTGTGCAAGCAGCAGCACAGCTACTCTACAACATTGGCCTCTGTGGGGCTGGCCATTGGGGGCAAAACAAGGGGACCATAAGAATCGGCCTGCAATGACTACCTTTATAACTAAGCAGCAACAAAATATAACCCAAGCAACAAAATGAAAATGCACAGATTTCAATGATATATGTTAATAAATAAATAAATAAATAAATGGGGAAAGTTCTGCTTTGTAGTAGAATGCCAACAAACTTGAAGAGGCTTATAAAGTTACCATTTAAGAACTATTATAAGGGCCCAGCACAATGGCTCAATCAGCATGCTGTGATAACTTCCTCTCAAATGGCTCACAGGGGGAAAGCTACTGATTTTCATGGTTTACACGGCGGTTATTTTCCATAAAGTCTCCCCAGGAACTCCACTACCAAACACCAAACCACTGCTCCAGGGTAAATAGAGTAAGCTTCCTATAAACCCTTAAAAATATTTCCATCAATTCTTCGATACATAAGCTTGGATGGTTTTTGTTTGTTTGTTTTTTTAATGGACTTGTGTCTTTGAACAGACACCTGACTCAATATATACAGTAATTCAGGAACATGGAACTCGTGGCCAATAGCACCATAGCCCAGGACTCAAAGCAGCTTAGGTCACACCCATACTTTTCTACACAAGATTGCACATCTGTAAATGGATGGATGTAAAAGGGACCAAAGGAATTCTATAGGAAACTTGAAACCAGCAGAACCTGAAGTGTTACCAGCCTAGGCCAGTGACAAAGGGACAGACCCAGAAGGACAGGGTCAAGCAGTTTCTCACAGGACTGGGTACTCTGAGTTTCACTGGAGAGACAGACAATCCAGGTACCCTGCAAGGCAGGTGTGCTCTGCCCTCTCCCCCATCTCCTGCCAGGGATTCCCACTGGCCACACCCAACAGGAAGCCAGAGAGCCGGGGAGGCAGATGATGGGTGGAGATAACCTGACCCTGAGTGTTCAGGAAGTTGTCAGTAGAAAGGTGTCATTTCCCAGCTCCTTTACTTCCGCTTCCTGAGCAAGAGGCTCAGGATGAGAACTGGTGTTGCAGGACTGGAAGGTCTTGAGGTCTTCCTGCCTCTCTGAGCATGTGACCTGTTTACCTCCCATGGCACCGGATCCCGGCCGCCTCTGCATGGACAGTGCAGCTCAGCATTGGGCTGGCCTTTCTCACTGCTAAAAAACCAAAAGAAAACAATCTGTCTCATTTCAAGAAAAAAAAAACCTGATTGGCCTTTGAAGTCACCTGCTCCATGTGAACCAGTCCCTGTGTCCAGGGCAATGGGACACTCCTGATGGCTCAGCTGAAAGCCTGTATCTGAGGCCTCTCAGCTCATGGAGGTCTCTCAGTCTCCTCCTCTTATACAAGTCCTGCCTGTTGCCTGGGCTACCGAGTAGGATGCTGGAGACTTGACAGGGAAGTGAATGGAGACTGGACTCAACCATGATCAGAAGAGTAAGAGAAAGATCCAGCAGCCTGCCAATTTTGATTCTGTTTCATATTTCTGCTCAAAATCAGAGGCTGTTTTTGTTAGATTTATTTTTCATTTGAAAGGCAGTTACAGAAAAAGGAGAGATGGAGACAACAGTCTTCCATCCACTAGTTCACTCCCCAAATGTCTGCCAACAGCCAAAGCTGGGCTGACCTGAAGCCAGGAGCCGCGAACTTCCTCTGAATCTCTGGGCCACCCTCCACTGCTTTTCCAGGTCATGAGCAGGGAACTAGATGGGAAAGCGGAGCAGCTGGGACACAAACTGGCAACCATATGGGATGCCAGCACCACAGGGAGAAGCTTGGCCTACTTTGCTAGACACTGGCCCCCCAAATCAGAGCTTTAATTGTGGATATTTCCATACATTCAAAATGGCTTTGCAGGGGGTGGAGGGTGGCCAGGGTTGTGGTACAACAAATTGAAGTTGCCACTTCCAGCACCTACATTTCATACTAGGGTGCTGGTATGAGTCTCTGCTGCTCTGCTTCCCACCCAGGAATGCATCTAGAAAGACAGAAGACTGTCTAAGCGTTGGGTGCCCGGTGACCAATGCGGCTCCTGGATTGGACCTAGCTCAGCCCTGCCTATTACAGCCATTGGGGGAATGAACTGGAAAATGGAAGACGTCTGTCTTTCTCCCTCCCTGACACCTACTTTTCAAATGAAAAGAGGAATTTTAAAATTTGGGTTTTGACTGTAACATAAGGCATGAAATAGACATTGTAAAAATTTAAAATATCACTGACAAAAAAAAGTCCTCATTGTAGTTTCTACTTCATTGGTCATAATTTAGAAAAGAATTCTGACTTCACCATGTTTATAAGAAAATGCTTCTTTGGGTCAAGTCTCACTTCTTACCTGGATTCAACCACCTTCTCCATTCTATCATTTTTTGCTAAAACTTCAACTGGAAGCTTGGTAAATTCTTCTCAGTGCACAGATTCTTCATGAATTTTTTTAAATCTTCTAACTGCAAGAAAAAAAGAGAATTGTTTATGTCCTCTTAGGAATCACACTTCTGAACTAATTGAACACTAAATAAGTAGGAGAGGTCTTCCACTGAGAACATGCACTTTGGGAACAGGCATTAATTGGAATGCCCACATTGCCTGTCGGAGCCCAGGTTCAAGTTCCAGCTTTGCTTTACACTCCAGCTTCTTGCTAACATGTGCCCTGTGGTTCCTGCCATCCACATGGAGACTGGAACTGAGCTTGGACCTCCTTGCATCCACCAAGACCCAGCCTTGCTTTTGCAGGTATCTGGGAAGTTAACCAATAGAAGACCTGTCTCCCTCTACATTTCAGGTAAAATAATGCATCTTAAAATTGTAGTCATTTTCCAGCAGATGAGCATTGTACTGCAGAGCCATCCTTTGAGGTGCTCACATCCCGTATCACAGCCTTCTTCAGGTTCCAGCTACCACACTTCTGATTCAGATAACAGCCCAAGCACCTTAGTTTCTGTCACCCATGTGATCCCAGCCCCAGCCAAACTAGTCACTTGGAAAGTGAACCAGGGGATGGAAAAGAGGTGTCTGAGTCCCCCCCATCTCTGTCTGGTACTTTTCCTTTCAAATAAAGAATTCTTTAGAAGTTATTTTGTAGGGACCAGTGCAATGGCTCAGTGGCTAAATCCTCACCTTGCAAGCACTAGGATCCCAGATGGGCATATGGGTCACCTCTCGGCTGCTCCACTTCCCATCCAGCTCCCTGCTTGCAGCCTGGGAAAGCAGTTGAGGACAGCCCAAAGCCTTGAGACCCTGCACCTGCGTGGGAGACCTGAAGCAGGCTCCTGGTTTAGGATCGGCTCAGTTCCAGTGGTTACAGAGGGAAAAAAATGCCAGTAGAAACAAATATTTCTTTTTTTCCACTTCAGATTTTTTTTTACTTATTATTTTTTTAAATCTGAGGGGCAAAGAACAGAGAGAGGGTCCTTGCCTGCTAGTTCAGCCCCTGAAATATCTAGAAAGTGCAGGCTCAAGCAGGAACCTAGAAATTCAATCCAGGTGTCCAATGAGTTTAAGGAAATCACCATCTGAGCAGTAACCACTGCCTCCCAGGGTCCACAAAGCAGGAATCTGGAATCAGAAACTAAAGCCAGGGATCAACCCCAGCTACTCCAAGAAAGGACAAGAACCTCCAAACTCACATTTTAGCCATCAGGTCAACACCTACTCCTTGGATTAACTTTAACTGCAATGTTAATTATAAGAATCTTCCAGCAGTTTTTGAACAGTAGTAAATACTACTGTGCAGAGTTTTAACTTTTTTTTTAATATATTCATGTTTCAGATTTATTAATTTACTGTAAACTGTATTAGTTTACATTAGATTTCACAATGAAAACTAGCAATGATGAAAAGTAATATTCACATAAAAGCTATTATTGAAAGACAAAGTAAGTATATTATTATTTTAGGAATGTACTCAATTACTTTTTTATAGCATTTAATTTTATAACAACATTTCATAGGCTCTGATGTCCCCCCTTCCCCTCCTCTTGCCCTCCCCCCATAGTGGATTGTTCCACCTTATTGCAGAGTTTTAACTTTCAACTGGTGATCAGCTGTATAAAACTAGTAAATGTGAACTAATAAGAGTTTTCTATTTTTCAAAAACATTTTTACTGGAAAGACATATTTACAGAAAGACAGAGAGAAAACTCTCCCACCTGCTGGTTCACTCCTCCAAATGGCTACAACAGCCGCTGGAGCTGAGCCAATCTGGAGCCAGGAGCCTCTTCTGAGTCTCCCACATGGGTGCAGGATCCCAAGGCCTCACCCATCCTCTGCCACTTCCTCAGGCCACAAGCAGGGAGCTGAATCAGAAACGGAGCAGCCAGGACACAAAGTAGTACCCACATAGGATGCTGGCACATTCTGGCAGAGGATTTGGCCAGTTGAACCATCGTACTGGCTCCAAGTTTTATGTTTCTTAATACAAAGAGTAGTGTTGGTTGAACTGTTTTTTCCAAAAAAGATGTGCCACAATTCTCACACCTGTGACAGTAAGCTTATTTAGAAGTAGGGCCTTTGCAGATGTAATTGAGATGTGAGTTGCAGCAACTGGTAGGTGCAGCAGTTAAGACAACCACAGAGTACCCAGGTTCAAGTCTTGGCTCTGGCTCCCAAATCTAGCTTCATGCTAAGGCAGACACTGGGCAGGTTCAACTAGCTGGGTCTCTGCCACCCACATGGGAGACCCAGACTGAATTCTCAGCTCCTGGCTTCATCCGGGCACAAGTCCAACTGCTGCGGGTGTTTTGCAGAGGCAATCAGACAGGAGCTCTCCATCTCTTTCAAACAAAATAAATAGTATGATGTAACAGTCACACAGCATGTACCTTTTGAAAAAAATGGTAGGGACTAGCACTGTGGCTTAGTGAGTTAAGTCAACACTTGGCAGTACCAGCATCCATGTGGTTGAGTCCCAGTGGCTCTGCTTTCTATCCAGCTCCCTGTTAACGTACCCGGGAAAGCAGTGGAGGATGGCACAGTGCTTGGGCCCCTTCACCCATGCAGGGAACCTCAAAGAAGCTCCTGGCTTCGGCCTGCCCAACCCAGCTGTCATGGATATTTGGGGAATAAAGCAGCAGATGGATGATCTTTCTCTGCCTCTAACACTGCCTTTCAAATACATAAACTAAACTTCTTTAAAAATTCCAAATTTTGGGCCCAGAGCGGTAGCTCAAGTAGCTAAAGCCTAGTAGCTAAAGTCCTTGCCTTGCATGCGCCTGGATCCCTTATCGGCACCAGCTCTAATCCCAGCAGCCCCGCTTCCCATCCAGCTTCCCACTTGTGGCCTGGGAAAGCAGTTGAGGATGGTCCTAAGCCTTGGAGAGCCCCGGAAGAAGCTCCCAGCTTTGGATTGGCTCAGCTTCTGCCACTGCGGCCACTTGGGGACTGAATCAGTGGATGGAAGATCTTCTCTATCTCTCCTCTCCTCTGTGTATCTGCCTTTCCAATAAAAAAATTTTAAATCTTTTTTAAAAAGCCTTAATAAAAATACATCTTTTAAAAATTTCAAATTCTATAGCATTACTCCAAAGAAGATACAGGAGTGGCCAAAAAGCAGCTGTTCAACAGTCATCATCAAGGAACCAGAAATCCAGGTCACAATGAGGCAGCCCTGGTCTCCACGGAGATGGGGATCCTCAAAAAGTCAGGGAGATAACATGCACTGGTGAAGACACTGAAATGCTTACCCACCCAATTTCCGGGGCCAGCTCCTGCTGCTTTCCTAGGTGTATCAGTAGAGCGCTGGATGGGAAGTGGAGCAGCTAGAACTCAAGCAAGTTCATCCATGGGATGCCAGCATCGCAGGCAGCAGCTTAACTTGCTATGCTACAACACTGCCTCTCCCTACACACTCACTCTCTCACTCTCTCTCTCTCCCCCCCCCCCCCAAATCCCAAGCCCACTTTGTTGCTAAGGTACACTCAGGACGGCAGGAAGTGACATCTCAGACAGTTGGGTCCCTGGCCCACTTTCGATTGCCACTTCCTGCTCATGCACAACCTGGGACGCCTCAGGTGTTGGTGTAAGTGCCTGGGTCTCTACCACCTGAACTGAGTTTCAGGCCCCTGGCTACCTCCACCTGGCCCAGTACCAGCTACCCCTGGGATTGCAAGACCAAAGCAAGGAAGCTGGACTTCCTCTCACTGCCATGTTATCTTTCAAGCAAACATTGTTTTTAAAAGGACAAGGTTTACAAAAGGAACAGCTGCAATAGTCAACTTGAAGACTGTTTATAGAGTATCAACGCTGGTGATTTAACCACAGATAACCATAAAGATGTCGAGATGAGGGAAGATAAATTCCCGAGCCAAGTCCTTATCTCCCAGGTGCTAACAGTTAACGTCAAGTGTAAAACTAACAATTGAGAAACAACCCACTGAAGAGGTACATTAGTAATTTCTAATTAGCATCACCTAACATCGAGAGAAAGAGCTAGAAGAATGAAAACCCTACAGCTGGAGGACATTTCTTCATGATAAACCTTTATTAAGTTCTGGGGGGAGAAAAATCAACGTAAATACATCTTTAAAAGAAATATGGCAATATGCAGCTGAGGGACAAATGAGCCTACTTTTAAAAAATGAAGACATTTCGGTTTTTTAAAAGAATAAATACTAATAAACTGAAGACATTTGTATCTCCAGCACAGCCTTTTCTGCCACCTCCAAGCCTCCTTTCCTCACGAATACCACACAGACCACAGCAAATGGAACCGTAACAGGACGATACCAATCCTCTTCCTCAACCACCAGTGGTGAACACCCATCACCCCGCAGGTGGCAAGCATCTCATAACCGCAGGGACAGAGGTCCCCAAGTCTTTGCTCCTCAGTTACCCGAGACACATCGTACACACATCTTCCCAGAGGTTAGCTCTCTCTAGACACACACAAAAACCAAGGTTCCATCCCCCAGGGAGGACGCTCCAACATCGGTCCCCCGGGGTGTGCGGACCACGCACTCCGGCCTCGGACCCCCGCTCGCTGAGGAGGCCTGGTGGGGGGACTCGTGGGGAGAAAGGGGGCGAGCCAAACGGGGACCAAAAGCACCACCACCGAGGCGGGGGTGCAGAGCGGGAAAGACGGGGCTCCTCGCGGCGTCCCGCGCGCCCTTCTCCCGTCTCCAGCACCCCCCGCGTCTGAGCAGCATCACCTGCGCCTCAGGGGAAGGAAGCGGAGGCTCCCCAAGAGTCACCAGGCCGCGAGTCCACAGTCTCGCGGGGACCGAGGCCTGCAGAGGTTTACGGACCCGAGGAAGCCGCTCCTTCCCGCTCGCCGGCCCCGTCAGGCCCCGCGCGGCCCACGCCGGTCCGCCTCGGCCTTTCGCGCGCCTCGGGACGCCCATCTCGCGCCGCGGCCCCGCCTCCCCGTTTCCACGGCGACGCGGCGCGAGAAAAATCCCGCCCAGTAGCCCGGAGTTGGCGCAGCCGCAGTTAGGCAAGCGACACACCTCCTCGGGGCCCCGTGGCGCGTGCGCGGTGGGGACTCACAGCCTTGGCAATCCCACGGCCCGTCCTGCAGCTACTCAGCTTCCTCCTGTTCCCCTTTCACAAAGGCAGCTTGGTGGGGAGCGTTACTTCCGAGTTAAGTCTCCTGTGGACAAGCATGAGGGATGAGGTTCCTGTCGCGAGGCGGACGCAGACGGAAGTCCTCCCCTGAGCCTCTCTTGGTGCCCAATGGTTCCGAGTGCGCGCAGGGGCGCACTCACGCGTGGACCTGGGAGGCATCCTTGCAGCCCTACCTAGAATTAGAATCCTGTTTTTTTTTTTTTTTCATTGACTTGGGTCCATGTGAAAATCCTTTAGGGAAAACATTTTTTAAAAAACAGCGTGTTAAGTGACTCAGGAAACACAGGTCATCTGTATTTTTATTCCATTTCATAGTTTGTTTTTTTAAGCATTAAGCACATTAGCCAAGTTTAATAAGAAATGCACCTGGTAGACTAGGCAAGCATCCCAGAAATGAGAGCTACTCATGAATTTATATTTTTAAAAGATTTGTTTTTATTGCAAAGTCAGATATATAGAGAGGAAAGATAGAAAAGATCTTCCATCCACTGGTTCACTCCTCAAGTGACAGCACCGGCAGGTGCTGTGCCAATCCAAAGCCAGGAGCCAGGAACTCTTTCAGGTCTTCCCCGTGGGTGCAGCGTTCCAAAGCTTTGGGCCATCCTCAACTGCTTTCCCAAGCCACAAGCAGGGAGCTGGAAGGGAAGTGGAGCTGCTGGGAACTGGTGCCGATAAGGGATCCTGGTATGGTCAAGGCAAGGATTTTAACCACAAGGCCACCGCACTGGGCTCTTGTTTTTTTTTTGTTGTTGTTTTGTTTTTTTCAAAGTTCTACTTTAGTAGACACAGGAACTAACTTCAGAGACCACTCTTAAAAAAAAATTTTGAGGGCCCGGCGCAGTGGCGCAAGTGGTTAAGGTCCTCGCCTTGCACGCCCGGGATCCCATATGGGCGCTGGTTCTAGTCCCAGCAGCCCCACTTCCCTTCCAGCTCCCTGCCTGTGGCCTGGGAAAGCAGTCGAGGACAGCCCAAAGCTTTGGGACCCTGCACCCGCGTGGGAGACCCGGAAGAGGCTCCTGGCTTAGGACCGGCATAGTATCGGCCTGTTGCGCTCACTTGGGGAGTGGAACATCGGACGGAAGATCTTCCTCTCTGTCTCTCCTCTCTGTATATCTGCCTTTCCAATAAAAAAAATAATAAAAATAAAAAAAAAATTGAGCCCGGGCCCGACGCAGTGGCCTAGTGGCTAAAATCCTCCCCTTGAACACGCAGGGGTCCCATATGGGCGCAGGTTCTAATCCCAGCAGCTCCACTTCCCATCCAGCTCCCTGTTTGTGGCCTGGGAAAGCAATCAGGGACCACCCAAAGCCTTGGGATCCTGCACCCACACGGCAGACCTGGAAGAAACTTCTGACTCCTGGCTTCAGGTCAGCTCAGTTCTGACTATTGCGACTGCTTGGGCAATGAATCAGCAAATGGAAGATGTTTCCCTCTCTCCTCCTCTCTGTATATCTGACTTTGTAATAAAAATTTATTTGAGCCCTGGCTCCTGGAGATCTTCCTCTTGTAAGGCAGTGTCAGATTTTTCATCCACTTGTTTACTCCTCAAATGGCAGCAGTGGCTGCACCTCAGCCCTTCCAAAGCCAGGCACCAGGAGTTTCTTCTGAGTCTTCCAGATGGGTGCCAAGAGCCCAACGAGCTGGGTCATCCTCTGTTGCTTTCCCAGTCTACAGGCAAGGAGCTGGATTGGAAATGGACAAACTGGGACTTGAACTGGTGCCCCTGACATGTTGACATTGCAATCCAAGGCTTAGCCTACTATAACCTAGCTCGGAGGCATCACTTTTATCTGAAGCCGTGGGACTAAACTATTTTAAAATAATGTGTCAAGTCCTAACAACAATGACATATTTACTTGATGCAAATTTTGCTGTATTTTAAATATTTTTTGAAGGTTTTTTTTTTAATTTTTGAGAGATTTACAGAGAGAAGAGGAAGAGAGAGATCTTCCATCCGCTGGTTCACCCCCCAGATGGCCACAACCGCTGGAGCTGAGCTGATCCGGAGCCAGGAGCCTGTTCTGGGTGTCCCATGCAGGTGCAGGGTCCCAAGGACCTAGGTCATCCTCTGCTTCTTTCCCAGGCCATAAGCAGGGAGCCGCATCAGGAGTGGAGCAGTTGGGAAATGCACCAGCATGCATTTAAGATCTGAAGCTTGCAGGTGGAGAATGAGACACTTCTACGCTAAATCAGCTCTTACAAATAATTTCATGAAGAATTAGGGAAAAAAATGTTCTCTTTTATTCTCACCAACACCCAAGGCCATTTCCTATACTGATAACTGAAAGGTTATTAGTTGCCAAAGAGGGCATTTGTAATTACAAATGATCATTCCTGCCAGAAATACCAAAAACCCTCAATGAAATGAGGATTTATAAGCTTCCCGCCTTTGCCTGGCACAGGTGAACCATTTATGGCTGCCCTTCCTTAGTAAATCACTACCTTTATTGCTAAGTGATTATCCCCTGGTCTTTTTAAAGAAGGCTAAACCGAGACTTGGAGAAGGTAAGAAGTGGGCTGGGGCCAGGTTCTTCACCCGACAAAGAAGAGCTTAGAACAAGAGCAGATCCTAATTAGGATATATTGGAAAATTCAGGAAATCTATTCCAGGCCACCATCACCAGGAGCTGAGCACTGATTTCATGGATGGCTGAAGCAGGTATTAAAAAAAAAAAAAGCTCACCAATTCTTCATATAGAATAAAACGTTGTCTGAAAGTCTCCTTTTCCCTTAAGGACTCTAAGAAAAATAGCTTGTGACACGGTCAGATTTCAAGGCTAGATTAGAAAATGCCAAGGCAGCAACTCTCCAGCACTCTCCATTTTTCTTCTCTGGACGCTCGTCCTGGGTCCTGGTCCCTCTAGCCGCCAGTTTATAAAGAAGCTCATGTGACAGAGACCTCATTTGCCACTCGCAGCGCCCCCCCCCCATTAACCACCAAACCATCGCCTCCACACCCCTAGGGGGCTTCAGAGCTGCCCCAGTGGATGCCCACTGCACCAGAAACCAACTGCGTGTGCAGGAACCCTTTTACAAGTGTGGGAGTAAAATGAAAGGTTACAGCCACTGAGTGTGGGGAAGGGAGGAGTGGTTAACTGCACAGCCAGAAAGACAGCCAGTGCTTGGAGTGGCAAGTATGCTACAGTTGCCTCTGTGAGCCTCACAAAAAGTCTCTTCCTGTTCCCCTTCAATTTTAGTGTCCTTACTGCCCCATCAAACACCTTATCCTACTTAAACCTGGCAACCTCCCTGCGAGTGGCTCATGCTTTTTCTCCAAACCCAGGCTTAGGATATAATTCGATTGTTTAATTTTCCGCAGTTGGTAAGAGATAGGGCAAAGCTGCGGGTGCGAGACTCTGCAGGGTCTCTCCCACCTGCCTCTGGCCTTGCAATTTAGTTGCTGAGAAACACCAGGGGTGGGAAGGGGGATGCTGAGTGTCTGGTGAAAAGTGTTCAAAAGTCAGCCCCTTAAAAAAAAAAAAAACATAGGCTCCGCTGCTGCCCTTTCACAAGACAGCTGTCACTCCGTGCTTCCCTCCTCCCGCGATGTTGCATCAAGCAGTCCCATGGGACTCAAGACTCGGGCCTGCAGTTCAAGGGAGCAAGGACGGCTGACCCCGCATCTGTGCTAGTGTCCAGCCCCAGGCTGCACACACGTGTAAACGCTGCGCAACACACACACACACACACATACACACACACACTTTCTTTCCACATTTCCGCCAACTATACTTGTACTTCCTGCTTCTCATGGCAGGAAGTTAGAAAAAAAATTGAGATATATAAGAGGGAAAGACCAATTCGCTCAAGTCCCCAGTCACTTTCATCAAAGGGGTGACAACTGAGTCACGCAGCACCCTGCCTTTCTTGCTTTCATCACCTTTGCGCCAAAGTGCAACCAAGTCACAGCTTTAGCCCTCGATCACGAATGAGTGTCATGAGCCCGGCTTGAAAACCGCCAAGGTCTCTCCTGAAGCAGATTTCCCACGGCCGAAGCGTGCTCCCCGACAAAGGCAGCTCCCCACCATCCCCACCACCACCAACCCGGACGCGACCCTCACAAGCTTAAGCGGTGGCCAAGCTCGCAGGTCGCCTCGGGGCCTGCGCACCCTCGGGGCCAGCGGGCCCACGGAAAGCGGTGCGGCGCGCGTCTCCCCGCGTGCGCCCGCTCCGCACCCGCGCGTGGGAACACGGCCATCCTTCTCCCCCGCCCCCGGGGGCTGCCCACAGCGGGCGCCTGAGCACCCCGGGCAGGGGGCAAGGCCTTCGGCCGTGTCGGTTCGCAGCCTCCTACCAGCAGCCTCCCGCCTCCCCGCAGCCGAGGGAGCGCGTGGGGGCCGAGAGGGGGCAGCGCGTGGCGCCGCGTCTCTTTTCCGCCCGGCACCGCGGCAGCCACCTCACATCCGGGCGCGCGGCGGCGAAGGCGGCGCCGCCGAAGGCCGAAGTGCGTGGAGGGAGTTATTAAGGGGGAGAGAGTGGAGAGAGGGGTGGAGGGTGGCGGCGGGAGGGCCGGAGAGGAGGGGCGGAGGGCCGGGCCGCGGTTACGGCGGCTGACGAGAGACAGCCCGAGCTGGTAGTGGCGGGGCGGGGGTGGGGAGGGAAGGTAAAGGAAAGGAGGCTGGCGAGAGCGAAGGCCGCGGAGGAGCAGCAGCCGCCGCAGCAGCGCTTTGGGCCGGTGCGGCCAGCGGGGCGGGGAGCGACGGCGGCGGCGGCGGCCAAAGCGTTAAGGGCCGCCGAACGGCGGGAGGCACAGAGTAAGGAGAGGGGTTTGTTGGGTGAGGAGGGCCGGGGTCAGGGAGTGGGCGCTGGGCCCCACCGACACGGAGGGAGAGAAGGGATGCGGGTGCGCTGCTCCCGGGGTCGCGTGTGAAGCGCGGGCGCCGGGGAGCGCGCGGTGGGGCGGGCAGGGGCGCGCGAGGCCCCGCGGGGCGGCCGGCTGGAGGGCTGGCCCTGAATCGGCAAGCTGGGCCGGGGCGGACGGCGGCGGGCCTGCGCCCTCTCCAGCTCCGATACGCCCAGGGCCGGGGGGATGGATTTGGCCTCCCCGTTGACTCTGGCCCGCCACCCCTCTGTGAGTCCCGTTTCCACCCTTCCTCCGAGAGAGGCCGCTGGGAGGTGAGGGAGGAAAGAAGGGGTGTATGGGGTGGGGGGAGAGTCGAGGCCCCCCCTGGGGAAAGCCGAGTTTGGAAACTGAAGCTGGTGCGCCCCCTTTTTCTTGCCACTGACGCCCCTTGACATGGCCACAGGTGCGGGCGGCCCTGGGCGGGCAAAGAGGCGCTCGGGGGGGCCCCTTCTTCAGTTCCTGATTAACAACGGGCAGCTGGCCCCGTCCATCGGCCAGTGACAGGCCTTTTAACACAACCCGACTTCCCAGTTCCCCAAGTCTCCCTACCTGCCCCCACTTCGGGAAACTTCCCCCAGCGCTCTCTGAACCGTCCCGATGGGTGGCAGCGGCTAAATAACTGGTTTCTCTTTGTATGAAAGCTGCTTCAAGATTGTACCCCAAGTTGGGTACTTACCTTCTTTCTCCTATGGAAGCTTAGAGTAATTTGCTCCTAAGCAACCAAGCACCGGCCGTTCCGTTTCTGAATTGGTTCTGGTTTATAGCATAATGTATATACATTTGGGGGGGCAGTGAGTTTGTTTCTTACAACTGTTTTCAATGGGGCTTTTTTTTTTTTTCTAACATTTGAGTTTCTGAGCAAGCCAGAGCTTCTGAAACGTTACTGTTGTTGATGATAATGTTATCTTGATGTATCTTTCAGGTGCGAAGAATTCTAGACATAAGAGCCATGGATAGGAGAAACGTGGCTGAAACAGAGAATGGCGATGCTTTCCTTGACCTGAAGAAGCTGCGGGCCTCCAAATCCCCCCATCGCTATACAAAAGTAAGCTTTGTTACTAACCAGATAGTGTTTCTTTGTAGGTTCGGAATTGGTAACATTGTGTGGAATTGGTAACATTGTATAGTTGCGATGGGCTGTGTAGAACCACCCTAAGTAAAGCTTGCGCTGAATTTCTTTTTTTTCTGGAACCTGGAATTGGCCACTGGAGTAGCTTTGGGGTGAAGGGAATATTGGGTCAGATTCCATATGAATTTTTGGATCGGGGTGAGGACAGGTTCCACCCATAGTTGTGAAATTGACCTGTCATTGACTTGCATTCATTCGGATTCTTGGTTACTTCTTATTAAAATGGGATATGTACTGTCTTAACTTTCTGCAGGTTTTATGCTTATAAAAAATTAGGCTTCAGAATCTTGTCTGGAAGGTTCTTGACGGGACTTAGCTGTAAATTCATGTCTTGGTTTCTGGAATGTTGTAGGCTGGAGTACCTTAGCGAGAAGATGATGTAATGGGTTCTTATTGGGCTCTCCTTCATATGGGCTCAATATTCATACGGCCCTACTGTCCCTGGCTTCTCAGAATACTGACTGTAAAACCATACCTAGTTTGCTTTCTGGTACCACAGCGCTTACCTACCTGATAAAATACCAGTATTCATACACATTTTTCAAATTAATATGTATTTAAAATAGAAACAACCTCTGAGAAGGAGAATGGGTCTCCAAGTGCACCAAAGGCCACCAGGTAACTGCTGTCTTAGCGGTGGCTGTGTCGGCTTGTGGCAAGTGTTGGCAGGTGACTTCTGCATGGAGAAAAGGTTTATCCAGTAGAGGGAAACTGGTTTGAACTGCTTAGGAGCAGACGTGGGTTCCATCTCCCAGCAATTTTTGATAGGAAGTTCTGACTTAGTCCGCTTGGAGCGTGCAGCAGAAAGAGCCTTGGAATGTGTCACGCTCATGTGCAGTGGCAGTGTTGTTTGTATTTGTATCATGTTGCTTCATTCACATTCAGGATGGTGTTACTGGTCTCTCTCAGGACCTGACTTAGCTTTGCGGTAAGGATTCGGTAGCTCAGTGTCGTGCATTTTCAGCAGTCCAACCTCAAAATTCTGTGGCACCTAGGTTGAAGAATTGGATATGAAAAACATGTTTTTTAGGTTGACAGTAGTTGGTGCATTTTTACTCTTTTTTTCCCCCCAACATCACATTTAGCTGGAAATAGGTTTACTTTCTAATCTGCTTGAAAGGACTTAGTAACTAGAAATTCTAAGATAGCACGTTGTAGGCAGGTGCATCCTAGCACATGTATAACTGGGGGTGGAGGGGTGCACAAAGAACTCAGCCTGTCTCCCATTGGAAGAGTATCAGACCATCCTGGGTTCTGGGCACGACCAGACAAGTTTGACAACTGAGATGATGTTTGAGCCATATCCTGTACCCCTGGGTACAGTTTTGAGATCAAGTGATGGAAATGGAGTTTAGTTCTGTTTCTGCCACTTTAGATTCACTGTCTAGAAGGCTGCAGGAGTTGAGGGAACCTGTCTTCCTGAGCAATACTTCCTAGGTGTTGTGTTCCAAAGAAACTTGTAAATATAAGACATCTGCGATGTCAAAACAAAACAGCACACATGGGTTGGCTGCATGAGCAGGCCTCTAAACCTTGGGTCCTTCTTGGCGTGCACTTGCCATGCGGTGGAAGGCCAATGCTCCAGATGCAGAAGGTTCTTCTCCAGTGAAGATGAGCGCAGGGATTTGGTCAGGTGCCTGTCCAGGTGTGCGCCAGGATTCCCCTGTGTATTAGAACACCCTTTCGTTTAACTGTTTCAAACATCAGTCTGTTGCAGAGGGCTTGGTGAAGTGTGACTTCCAAGTAGTAGTGGGTCAGGGTGGGCCTGAAGCATTGGCTTCTTACGCAGCTCCCAGGTGGGGTCGTTGACCCTGGTCCGCTGACCATACTTGAATAGCAGGGATGAACAGTGCTGGCACTGCACAGTAACACAGATGCCTGGTTATTCTCGGGTGCATGGTGTGTGGTGTGGTGCTTCCAGGAATCTGAGGGACTTGAGTTGGTTATGTTGGGGGCTTTCAGGGTTACTCTGAAACCTCAGGAATGATTAACTTGGATGATTATAAATGGGCTTACCATATACACCTGTTGTGCTGGTCTCCTTATGCCCTTAAGTCAGATCCGTTTGGCAAGCTCGGTGCCTGAGACTGAAAACTGTATGTTTCTGTCGGTTTTCAGTGTGTGTGTTTAAAGTGGTGGAGTTGTGTTGGAGGTTGTGAAGTGAGATCCTATCTAGAAGTCATAGCTGAAAAAGAGATTTAGATAGCGGCTCTCCAAATGTCCCTGAGCTGGCATTCATATTATCTAATAACTAACTCCTTTTCCCAGTGATACTGAATCAAAAACACAGGGCAAGGCCTAGACTGTGTTCTGATCCCATGGTACTTTAAGTGATCAAGTTAACCTTAGATTGTGAAATATGCTCATGTGTGCTCTCGCTTTTCTACACATGTATTTTTCCACCAACTCTTATGAAACACCATCACCTACCAGTTGGATTTGTAACGGAGGCAGACAACACTGACAGCATCCAGCTTAGTACTGACCCACGAGTGCTGAGCGTGTGTGTCAAGTACGCCCACTGGAAAGTGGGTGTTAGATTATCTGGGTTGGACTTCACCTGGGTGTTCTATTGCCTCGACTCGTAAATTGAGACCGTTTTTGTCAGTGTTAGTAGAGCAATAATGATTTTGAGGGACCCCACCCTGGTTCGTTCCTGACAGGCCTGTAGGCCGTGGCAGTGGGTACAGCTCTGTATGTGTCTTTGCTTGAAAACCATTTTAAAAATGCGAAAGTAGTGTGAAGTGTAAAGGTCTGAGCAATCGTTGCCTTCGTAAAGAGAATCCATAAGGAGACAACAGAGTCCAGCCGCCAAGAAGGAAGTCACTCGTCAGCATCCTAAGTTGAACTCCGGAAACAGATGTCCATTTTTCCTACACAAAGATCTTGTTTGTTAACATTGTATGTATGTTTCATAAAAAGAGTTGAGGACTAACCACTGACAGGTGGCATTCCAGGGACACATTTAGCTGCAAACTTCTGAAGCTACTATAAAAAAGAAAGACGCCGGTTTATTTTGGGGGAAGGCAGTTATGACATGGAAAATTATTACACAGTCCTAGTGTGTGAGTTGTCCAGAAAAACCTAGCTAACTGGAAGTTCTTGGAGCTGGTGTGCAAGACCTTAGAGGCAATCTTCTGACTACTTGTTCGTGCCTGTTCCGGTTGTCAGTCCTCTTGGGAAGTTAAAATGTGGGTCTCTGTTGGGCCTGGTGCAGTAGCTTAGTAGGCTACTCCTCCACCTTCAAGCACCGGGATCCCATGTGGGTATCAGTTGTCCTGGCTGCTCTGCTTCCCATCCATCTCCCTGCTGGGAGAGCAGTGGAGGATGGTCCAAAGTCATGGGACCCTGCACCCACGTGGGAGACCCACGAGAAGCTGCTGGCTTCGGATCTACTCAATTCTGGCCATTGCAGCCACTTAGGGAGTGAACCAGTGGATGGAAGATCTATTTCTCATTCTCTCTTTAAATTTTCTTTTCCAATAAAAGTAATTAAAAAAAAAAAAAAAACAGGTCCTTTAAATGCCCTCCCTTTGCTCATGATGGGAGCTCTTCACTAGTAAGGATCCAGTTGCTACACAATTGGACTTTTAACATAGAAAGAAGCTTGTACAGTGGCCCTTTAATTCAGATGTAAGGAGCTACCCACCCAGGAAGGTGGCAGTTTGTCTCAGGGGTCTCAGGGATCCCAGGGAACAGGGCAGACTCAGCACTAGGTGGCCAAGTGACAGAGGGGTGATGCCCTCCTGTCCTTTAGAGTACAAGCTCTACAAAGGACAGGATGCAGGCTGCAGAATGCCACTCTGCCACTTACCTGTGTGACCATGGACCCTGCATCTCCCAGTGTCATCCTTCCCTCCTGGAAGGTGAGGGTGGCATCGCAGCTGCCTCACAGCGTTTTTGTAGGGAATACATGAGATAATAGGTGTCAAGTGCTTAGAACAGTGCCTGGCACATCCTGACAGCTAAGAACTGCTTCTGGCTGGATAAAGATGGAGTTACTAAAAGATAAACCTGCTTTACATGCCTACCTCAGGTCAGGCTCATCATTCTGCATGTGTCAGAGTGAAAGCAGAAAGCTTGCTGAGGACTTAGTGCCACCGTCCTAAAAACGGTTGACCTGTTTGAGGTTTCTCGCTAGTACTCCGTCGCTTGCTTACTTGCTGGTTTACACTGCTTTTATCACTTATATAAACACATATAAAAGCTTAAGTTATTTTTAAATTTTATTTTGTTAGTTTAATATTTATTTAATTTGAAAACGCAGATTTACAGAAAGAGACAGATCTTCCAACTATTGGTTCACTGTGCAAACAATTGCAATGCCCAGAGCTCAGCCAGTCTGGAGCCAGGAGCTGCTTCCAGGTCTCCCATGTAGGTGCCGGGGCTCAAGGACTTGAGCCATCCTTCGCTGCTTTCTCAAGTCATCAGCAACAAGCTGGGTCAAAGGTGGAGCAGGTGGGACACAAGCTGGCACCAATATTAAAGGGTAGTGCACTGCTGGAAGCTTAGTCTACTATGCCATGGCACTGGCTCCTTAAAGATTGATTTCTATTTTTTAGCATTTACCTATTTTCCTTGAAAGAGTTACAGAGATGACCAGAGACAAAGAGATCTTCCTTCAAGGGGTTCACTCTACAAATAGTTGTAAACGGTCAGAGCTGGGCCATTCCAAAGATGGGACCCAGGAGCTGCTTCTGGGTCTCCCACATAGCTTTAAGGGCCCAAGGCCCTGGGCTGTCCACTATTGCTTTCTCAGGTTAACAGGGTGCTGGATTGGAAGGGGAGCAGCCAGGACTCTAGCCAGTGCCTGGATGAGATGGCTGGAGGTAGACTGGTCTTAAACCAGGAGCCTGTAGCATCTTCCAGGTCTCCCAAGTCAGTGTAGGGGCCCAAGGGTGTGGGTCATCTTTCAC